AAAAGATTAACAGTCGCAAAAGACAAACAATCGTCGATCGTTGTCCAACGGATTGTTGATTATTGATGATTGTTGAACGTCAAAATATTCTACTCAATCAAATATTTTATGTTCATAAATATTTCTCGATTCTATATCTTGATAAAAATTATCTCAATAGATTATTCTATACTTACACATAACAAAAGTTGAGCAAATTTGTAAAAAAGAAATTTTTTTCACTCAAACAATTCTAGCCACAACTTCAAGTGATTGTCGTAACAAGATGCCAACCACAAAATTTTGAAAAAAATGATATAACATAGTTGAATGTGACGGACGTGATAATTATCTACTATGAAAAGTACAAATGAAAAACAAGAAAAACGTTATGGGTCTAGGCAAGACATAGAGGCCAAACTATTCACATACAAGGACGAAAAAATGGAATGATATCCAAAAACATGCAATGAATATAGTCATACTTTCATTGTTACTTTTTAAACTAAATCTAATAGATGAGTATAACCATTGTATTTTGAGGCTTTTGATACACGTTATCATTTCAAAAAGCTATAAAACACGTCATCTATTTTTTTGAAGTTAATAAGCTTCAAAATAAAATATTCAAGCAAAAAGATTGAAGATCACATTGATGTATTTGATACTTTTGTGATCAGTTTACAGAATCTTGAAGAACAAATCATAGATCGAAAAAATATTTTCATCTTTTGAATTCATTGTTTGCATCTTACTAATTATTATCATATGTTTTGCTCCATTGTGATAGGTAAACAATCACTTAAAAATTGGTGGTAAGTGCTTGTTGATTTATGATTAGGGATAAAAAATAATAGTATCATCTAGGATGATGAAAAAAAGAGTTTCATATTGCTAGGAGTAGAAGAATATTCATCATCTCATTATAATTTATGCTCCACAATAGATTGTTGTTTTTGAGAATCTCAATCAAACAATATTATATATTATGCGTATAATTTTGGTTTATCATATAAATTTTGGCCTAGAGTTGTCAATATCGTAGTGTATTTGATAAAACTTTTAATTTTTACTTCAATCAATTTTTAAATATCATCTAAACTGAGACACAAATTAATGACTGATTATAGTTTAATTTATAGTCGTTTGAGAAATTTTGGTTGTATGACTTATCATTTCATACTTTTAGAGAATATGATCAAGTTAGATACTACATCCAAACAATATTGTTTTTTAAATTTGCTAGCAAAATGAATGTTTATAGATATAGGAGTAGATTATTTGTCAGCTCACTAAGATTCATACTCCACTATAGAATTTTTTTTGAAAAGCACAATTAAATGATCATAGAAAAGATGCAATTGTATTGATGTTGATGAAATTTGATATACAATATGAATTTTGTATTAAAATTGTCAATATTGCAATATATTGAATAAATCTATAACAGTGAAATTAATTGTTTACACCTTTGGAACTAAGTCACAAACAAATAGCTGATTATAGTCGTTTGAGAATTTTTGGTTATATTGTTTATATTTTCAAAACTAAACTACAAAAAAATATGATTAGTATCATACATATTAGAAGTTTAGTTTTTTTGAATATGCTATTGACGTATTGAAGCATACAATATCCTGTAAAGTTACTCCCAATAGCAATGAGTCCAAATCATTAAAGAAGAAAGAAAGTTCTGAAGCTCCTCCTATGCATAAGGAAAAATCTTCATTCAAGGATGTTGTTGAGAGTAAGATTGATCATTATGTGATTAATGATGTGACATAAGAAAAAACTCACGTATAGATGGAACAAATTTTTGAACATCATATATTAGAGGAGCAAATTATCATTGTTGAGACTTAAATATTTACATCAAACATTAAAGATCAACCAGAATCTTCTACTATAAGATCATGATTCATCAGATCGAGGTTGTTGATGACATTGGGTTGATCTTAAAAAAAGTAGATAATTCTTCTTCAAGAGAACCTCAAGACTTTGTCAATAATCTGAAAGTGAAATGTTGTTACGGAGCGTGATCTGCACTTGCTGATGTATAACAAGACTTGAAACTATCAAGGATTCGAATTTTGATTGATTACAAGTGGATATCCACTTGATGACAAGAAGACAAAACTGTGAACCATTAAGTTTTTTCACTTGTAGCAAGATATGTTATAATTTTTCTCATATGTGCACTTACTGCAATATTTAATTTTATAATTAATTAGATGTACGTATAGCATTTTTCTATAAATGTTTAGAGTAGAAGATCTTAATGAAGATTCTAATGAGACAAATTGTTTGCTTTGAGAAGAAATGTCAAGAGAAATTACTTTGTAGATTGTTGGAAATTGAATTTATCTCATATGAAATGGAATATGAATTCATGAAAGCACAAATTTTTTACCGAAGAGTGTGTATGATATTTGTGCATATATGAAAAAGATGAATAATAATATTTTTAACCTTACTACATGAATGTTTCATGAAAGTTTTACATGAATGATATGTTCATCTTGACAAATAATTAACTCAACAGATGCAATCATCAATTAAATTCTACATTCAAGAGTAAAGATTTGGATCAATCCAAGAGTATATTATAGATGTACATTCATAGAGATTTGATGAAAAAGAATCAAGATAATTCCATTCAAGTGTTTAATATAAATGACAGGTTGACAAAGTATAATTGACAAGTTTAATATGATAGAATCTTTAAAATTATAAACTCTTTTGGCACTACATTTTAAACTTTAAGTAGTACAATGTTCAACCGATATTATTAAGTAGAAAATAATGTCATCGGTTCTTTATGACAAAATTGTACATAATCTCATATATTTGATATTGTGCACAAGACTTGAATTTGCTTCAACGATTAACAAAACTAGGAATTACATGTCAAATTCAGAGAATATACATCTCGAAACAATGAAATGGATTCCCCTAACCTAGGTTTAACCCCATTAGAGATTTTGATTAGAGAAAATCTTAAGATGTAATGTTGCTCTAGAAGAGTATCTTCATGGCACTGACTTCTTTTCTAAGTAAATGTCCCCTGGTATCCCAACATCTAAAACATAATTCCAAAAACTAATAATTGTCTAAATCAAGGAAAGAAATTTACCGCTTTAAAATTTTCATACATCTTTCTACATTAAAGTAAGGACAGATTTCATCGAAGTGATTTAAGATATTATAAATTAAAAATGTAATTTCAGATCAAAATATATAGATAATAATTGGAACAATTTTTTTCATCCCATTACTTACATTAAATGAATAACTTTGATATATATCTCACTATTTTATATTGTACTGTTGCTGTGAAGATGAAACCGCAGAAACATTAACTTAACTTATGCTTTGGAACTTCACTTTTAATGTCAATTTTGAAAGAATTTACTTGCTTATTTATCACAAAAGTAAAATGTCTGATTACTTGTGAAGAAGTGCGTATACCACTGAACTTGAAGGCATGAATATGGTAGAATAGTTACACCAGTTAGACTCTCCTCACAAAAGACATTGAACTTCGTTCATCTTTATCCTAAGTTATCTCGGAGTTCAGAGTTCAAGTGTTCAAGTGTTATCCGACGCTCATGATGGCACGTCAAACTGTCGGGGTTTTTCACGTTCATGAAGTGCTTCCGAAATGACACGGTAGACAACAAGGTTTCTAACTGGAAATTGTTTCTAACCAAAGACAATATTAACTGCAAAGTTGCTAATGATGATATTCTTGTATATGTCTGAGATGTAATCACTTTCTCCACGGGAATTGGACCATGGTGTAATACCCGACCTCTCGTTTGGGCAACCGACTCAACTTATTTTTCCGCTTCCCGGTACCACAAATATTCTGCCAGTGTAGTTTATAGTCTTGCCTCTGCAATTTCTGTTCAGGTATGTTAGCGAGGAAAAAGTTCTCGTTGTACTCGAAATTGTATTTGTACGTAATTAAACCAAATATAACAGAAGTGTGAACATGACATCCATTAAAAGTTGCGGATTCGGTAACTTTATTTGATAAACTCCCCGTGTTGAGTGTGCAGTTGTGTGAAGAGAAGCTCGGATCAGTACTTTAAATCCTAAACTATTGTCTCGGGTTTCAGTTTAGGAGAAGAAGCCAAGCCATAGATTCCACGCTCCAGTTCGTTTGCATACAACCGGATTGAAGACAAGGTAACATACGACCACCACAAAACACCACGGAAACCAAGACAAGGACAACCACTGGTATTAACAAAGATTGACATGAGTTCTAAGTTATGTTTAGGTGTCAAGTAAGACACTTCGAAACATACCGCACAGTTGGTATGGGCCGCTCAAATGGCGTGAAGGAAATAATTCGATAAACCACCATAACATAAGAATGGTGGACACAGTACTGGGTTCTAGGTTCATATCGTCTGTCGGGTTCGCAAAGTCAACCATTGAAAATACAGAGTATATTTGACGTACTACAGTACTCAAAGGTTCATCCAGACTTGGTAGAACGTTCTATCCACACTCCAGCACACCGTACCTAAGGTTCATCCAGACTTGGTAGAACGTCTTATCCACACTCCAGTACCTAAGGTTCATCAAAATTTGACGATATATACATCCACAAAAGAGAATTGGACGACTCTGTACTATATAAACCAGACCCGTTTCCAGTCCTCCAGCTCGGGGTACTGCAATGTGACACGTCAAGTGACATGGACATAAATGTTCGGACTAAGTAACAAGGCTAAGTCGACAAGACAGCGAAGACACCCTTCCATGTAGAGTCATTCCACAGGAGGAGATGGAGGAAGAGCGCAATAATAGGCCGCTTGATTACCGTCTCCATGTCTGAAAAACTAGAACCCTTCGTAAACAACTGTGCACTGCTCTCATGACAACCCTAGGCATCGCGTCTTGCTGAACTGCTAGACGCAAGCGTATTCAGGTCTTAAGGCCAGTCCCACCCCTCCGGCACTGTCTTCTTCAACACAAAATATATGAAACTGACAAAAAAGAAGCAGAGAGGTAAGGAAAATAATAGACGCCAAACCATCATTACGTGCTTGAAAAGAGATGCTGAGATAGCATCAACAAGGTCTTATCATCAAATCCCCGCAACAAGCCCCTGAGAAGGTACCAAGTTGCATTTGGATACCTGAATGAAAAACCAGCCCAGACGCCAAGGACAAGGATACTGGCATCATCCCTCCGCAGGAAACGAATAAAGCTAGAAAGGTACTCGCACCTACATATTGATGTATATATTTTGGAAATGAACATTTGCTTATGTATCTAGTTTTGAGTGAAAGGAAAGGGAAGCCCCGATCACAAGACTTGCGAAACCTGGCACGAACAGAGCCAAGCTTGCATCTTGACCATTTGCTGCTAACCCTCTTGCCTTTATCATCCTTTACCTACACAAATACATAGTGATTTCTACTTGATAGGTAACTTCTTTACAACTTCGGAGAAGAAAAAATGACCGAAAGGCAGGCCATAGACAAGTATGACCCTAGGTGACAAGATGATGTTGAACATTCTTTGTTGAAGGCAGCCGTTAGGGCCCAACAATTTTGAGAGCGAGCATTTTTACATGATATGGCAACGACTGCATTGGGGACAGAAACCTAATGATCTACAAGTTGAATAGGTGTACACCGGTATGACAGATTTGCCAAGGATGTACAAGTGGAACCAAACACTCTACCAGGTATGTCATCATTCCCGTTTCAGTAGCACCTGTTGAAAGGATAAAATACAATGAGAGCTAAAACCTTGCTCTGTGATGCTTCTAACACCACGCACGTACTTCGGCGGCGGGCTGCATAGTTTCAAGCACAGGATGCAAAGGGTACATCTGCAAAAAGGACCAAAACGTAGCAAGCACGATATACCCTTCCCAATAAGGGTTCGCTCTAAGCTTGGTATTGACGAGTCCAAAACCTCAAGTTAGTTATTCATTGCAGGATAGCGCTGCCGATGTAGCGGAGGTTTCCACGAACTGCTTACAACTACCGGAGTTGGAATTGATTTCCAGTTTCGAAGATGGCAGTTGTCAGATTGTTAGCAAGCTCCTCATAGCTGTCGTAATCAGGAAGAATTAGTTCGTTGAAGCATGTATGCGCCTGTGAAAACCCATACATCCCGATCACATGTTAGACCACCTTAACAGAAGCATTGTTAACTACTTGTGATCACCAAAATGAAGTCTTGCCTCTTTCGTACCTGCGGTAGTCTGCTTGAGTCGGACACTCGGACAATATGAAAAGGCCTTACACCTTCACTGCCACGTAATCCCTGCACAATGTCAAGATTTTCGAAAACAAAGTTACAACCTCACCTCGCTACTTACAATCTGGCAACCTTAAGTCCAGTAGAGCTTAACGATAAATCCAAATCCATACAAAATAAAAGCCTGATCGCGATCAGGATTTCATTCTGACACCGTACCTTAAAGCCATCGGGATACGGAACCTGCCCATCGTACAAACAGAACAAAAATTCTCAGAAAATTTGATACCGAAAACTTCTTTCGTAGAACTCACCAACAAAATTAGCCATAAGTCAAGTTTACACAATCTCTTTCATCCAGCTTCACACGAACTTCATATAGAATCACATTACCTTCTATGTATCTTAAGGGAAGAAAAGCAGATGATCAGAGTGAATCTTTGTGTTACTGACCTTGGACGTTCCAGTTACAAATTGTAGAAGACGGGCTCTCATTTCCTGATCCCAAGATTCGACAAGCTGTAGTAGTGTAGAAGAGTTTGTCAGTTAGTGGCATGAAGGTGAAAGCAAGTCGCTGAAACAAGCACACATTCGCAGGCAAATGATAAGGGCTACGTACGAACCTGCCAAAACCATCTGATTACAGGACAATCAGCAGAGTCGCGATACCCAGCTTTATAAACTGCGTTCTTCCTCCTGTTTCAGAGAAATGGAAACCCAAGAATTGATCAAAACATGAAGTCCATCATGCTGAAGACCCAGAACGACTATCAAAACGGTATTTCACGTACCTTCAAAGCTTAATAGAGAAGGTTAGAGCAAAACGACTACCAGGGTAGTAAAAACACCGTACCAATCGACGGCGTCAATAATTGGAAGTCCTCCAATCAACCATTCCAATTCATTCTCATCAAAATTCTGCACCATCATCACATTCCAAAAAATAAGTTACCTCTTCTTAGGTCAAACACCCATTACGGACCTAAGAAATATAGCATCCAACAGCACTAACCTGCAATAGGACTGGATCAACAACACGTGCCAATCCTGCCCTTAGTGCCTGGAACTGGGCCTCAACACTTTCTGCAACAATAACAAAAATACGCTTCAACACCTTCACAGAGAGATAAATGAAACAATGACCTCAAAACTGAACACTGGCTTCGAACATTTCATATGAGATTCACCTAAATATCAGGTGAGTCAATGCTTCAAGAGACTATAAAAAGCTATATTCATGCTTGAAAAATATGTACCTTTAAGGCGCCATCCAGACAAAAGATCGACATATTCCCTTTTGTTTTGTTCCGTCACAAGAATTTCTTTGCCTTTCGGCTTGAGCTGTTGTAAAGGAAAAAACCCTCAATTAAGAGTCTTCTGTAACAAAATCCAGTATTGTGAACCACGATCTGTCGTAAAGACCGACCTTAAAAGTGAAAATATTTGAGATCGGAAGTAATTGTCTCTATTTATGATCGCAAGTACTCAGCGGTGCTAATACTCCAGAGAAGAAATGTAGAACTACAGGAATAATTTAATAAGAGATTGTCATCCCACTCTCATCATCCATATACTCCAACAACCCTAAAAACATTTAATTTATGAGAATATTTACGTTTCTCCATGAGCAAAAATTGTTGACATGCGTTACTAAATCTATTACTTCATAACTTCTCTTTACCTCTATCTCTTCGTAGGCACCGAAGTTTTCCTTGTCGACTGAAAAAGACAAACCAAGATCCATACCCTCCAACTTATTGTCCAAAAGCTGCAATTCGTACAAAACATGATGAATTATCTGACAACAGAAATGATACATGCTGAATATGAACACAACCAAAATACAGTTGAGACTTCTCTTCTTACAAACTATACGGGCTTACACATATTCAAGCCATTTGTCATCTAAGAGGAGCTTACCCAAACCAGGCTCTTGTAAAACTGTACGTCAACTGTCGCCATATCATGATAAGTGACTGGCTTATCCAAAATACGCTTGTAGACCAGTCTTGTAAAATGAGCGTCCAACAAGCAGCCGTCAAGAAGGGCTTTTCCAACAATAGTGCCAATAAATCGGAAAAAATCCAAGTGATCCGGATTTATTCCTGAATTTGGATTGAGCTGAAACGTGTAATCATCTGCTGCACTGAAGGTGAACAATCCATACTGAGGATTGAAAATCTCCTTGCTGAGCACACTATACCAATCTCGAGTGACTCCCCCGTCGTCCCTACCGACTTCACCAACGAAATGGATTGACAGTGGGTTTCGCAGATCATCGTCACTTATTGAAGCGAACTGCAAAAATATCCAACACAAATATCAAATTCCAATTCAAAATCAAATATTCGTCTCAAGTTCAAACATCCATGAACCTGTTGATCTTATCTCAAGTATATCTTCCTATACAGAAAATAGTTATCCCAAATGGCATACTCGTTCGAGCTACTAGACTATAACTGAGTTCAAAAGTGGTGCCAATACACTCGAGCTCTGTTGTATAACGTGACGTCTTATGAAAGAAACACACAAAAAAACACTTCACATATGAAATAGGTAAATAGTACCCCTAACTGAGACAAGCTTAATAGAAGGAACTCGACGAAAGCTATTGTACGGAGGTTTAAGGAAACAAACAAATCCACTATGACTCAAGTTGGATGAAGAGCAACATCAGGGCAAGCAGATGACGTCCTCCCAAGCGCAAAAGGAGATACCGATCAAACTGAAAGAGGAACCTCAAAAGGCAACTTACAGGGGCCATGACACAACCTGGACAAGGAATGTTGAAAGGTACCAAGAGAATACCCAGGAAAGTACGTGCACGCTTGGTTTTCATGATACTGGCTAGAAATAGAACTTAATATCAACAAAGAACATATATCGCTCGCATTACCTCCAAATCTTGCCTCACCCTCTACATACAGCATTTTCGTTCAATTTTCACTTAGATTTCTGTCCAGCTCATGAGATATTGGTGGACCAAAATCTACTCATTACAAAAGCTGTGACTATGATGAGAAGATGTACTAGCATTGTGACCGTTACACTGGAGTCATGATGTGCTGTTATCCTGGGCACAGGAGAAGGGAGGTGCCAAGTACTAGATCAGAAACCAATGATAAAGTGGAAGTCAGTATTTATAAGATCATTCTGTTTATGTATCGTGTAGGATATGTAGCTGAATCCCGACGAGATGGGATTCCATCAGTATCGAACTTAAGGGCCCGTGCGTAAGAGGTAAGTGACATAATTGTAGCCTCGATTTTGTGATCAGCAGGAAGTTTCAAAAGGTGACACTAGTGGCGACGCCAACCACAAACCATTCTCTCACTGTCTATTTGTACGGAACAAAGCGACGTACAAAGCAATCGGTCAAGAGGCGATTGCGCCATTTGCCTTTTGTATTTATGTATAAGACGAATGACGTGAAATTGAGAGGTGCGTCAGTAGCAGCTTTGCTGCATTTTCTGACAAGCATTAGAAGCTTGAGGTTACTCAACAAGTGGATCACTGGCAGCTTCGGTGCAGATACCAGCAAGAGTAGATGAACAACCATCGTTAAACAACCAACAAGATTTGAATCTACGCGCGCAAATGATACCCATTATATTAAGCTCCTTCAAAAACATCACAAATTGTAAGGTGTCTCAGCTGTGCTTCAACATACAAACGGATTCCTGTGTTCGCAGCTTGGATAACAGATAAACCTTGACACGGCATACCTGTAGGTAGGAGTCTTGGAAAACATGATCTCGTCTCACGACAATTTGAAGAAGTCTGCGCTCACTCCTCGCGGGTGAAGGGTCAGATTTCCCGCCATCTCTCCCTTTGGAGAGCTCTCTGTATAGGGCAGTGACAATTGACCTGAGAATCTTGGTCGCGTCGTCGGCAGCTAGAGTCTACGTTTGTCCAATCTAAGGCAAGTCTACGAAAGCTCTACTAACCGGCAAAACATCCAAATGTATATACATGCCGTAAGTACGAAAAGAAGAATTCGAGGTATACAATCTGATCAGATTAAGATCAACAATCTGATCTCAATTCTCCTGCCACTGAAATCTAGTGGTTCTAAACTAAACAACCGCCAATGAAATGGCACTTTGATAGCAGATATTACCTGGATAGCCAGTCCCTTTTCATTTTAAAAATGGATCCTGCGCTCAGGTGATCCTTAAGGTCGTTGATGGATTTCATATTTGGGTAGTCCGCAGTAGGTGAGACCCTGCCATCTCTGCCGTGGGAGCTGTCATGTCTTACTTGAGGAGGTGGAAGTATACCTAAAGAAGTTGGAGGAATTGACACAATGTGGTCGTTTATGGAGAGCTGGATAGCCGCTGCTAAGTCGGCCGCTGTATCACAACAGATTCAGTCAAGTTAGATTTTTCCTAAATTCAAGTACGTATAGCAACATGGACTTGACTCCAGCAAGTGAATACACACAGGATAGTTTTTCCATCGAGAAACTTTTTACGAAACAGAATTGCCCACAAGAACGACGAAGAATTCGGAAAGACAACACAACAAGAGGTTTAGCGAGCAGAAAACAAGTGGACGATCCAATTTCAAACTGGCTTTTAGTACTCGGTGGCTCCTGTAGACGGCTTGCAGAACACACACATCGGCTCATTAGCGAGAATAGCTTTTTGGTGCTGCGCGTGGAGGTTGATCCTAAGGAGCTGGTGAGCAGCAAAAGGTTCTTTCGACGTCCACTTCATACTGCCGACAAGTAGTAGAGGAAGCAAAAAAAGAGACGGCAAAGCAAGCCACGGTGATGCAAACTTACGCCCCTCCCATTCAGCAGATGCACGTGAGGGCAGGTTCCAAAGACCATGATATCCTGAGAACATGAAATGCCCGGTAAGAACCCTGCAGAGATAAAAGGATAACCGTGGACAGAATCGGGGGAGGATGCACGGACTGGGAGGGGATGGACATCCGTGACAAGACACTGAGTGAGTTGAAGGGGAACTTCGTGAGAGCACATCCGAGCGCAATTGGTCAACCCAGAAGGCTCAAAGACGTACTCAGTTGAGAACAGTCACCAGCTGGGGGGAACTTCGGGCATTTTGAGCTGAGAGCCCACTGTATGAACAATTCAGGAAGGGGTGACAAATCTTCGGAAAGGATCTCCAAGCTCAGTCAAGCATGAAGGTAAACCCACAACAAATCATGTTCGAGGAAAGGCTTCGCAAATTGTGAGCAGAAGATAAATCCAACTCCGACAAAATCTCTCCCCTCCATCGTCTTTCAACCCTAAGCTCGTTCCCCACGCCTGCACACTCAAGCTACAATGTAGAAGGCATCCAAAGAAAAGGTCCTGTAGGCCAGGACGAGCAAAAGTGGGTCCAAGGTGTCAAAATAACCTTCTCGCCGGCGTTGCATACGGCGACGATGCCACGCACAGCCCGCCAGGGAAAGTACCATTGCCACCGACGACATCCATGTCATGAACAAAACCTCCAGCGGTCGATCGCCCAAGGTGTTAGGATCATACAGGTGTTGGACACCCCCTACCCCAACCATTGCGACCCCCGCCCTGTGATGCACCCTAATCGCGCTAAAATTCTCACTACTTATCACTCCGACAGGTTCTCGTCCTCATCGCTACAATTAGTCTCGGACCCCTGTCGCCTTCTGCATAAAAACCTCCGTCGACGTCGACTGCGCGAACTCCTCGTCAATCATCTGCACCACCGCAGAAGCTCGATCCTCGGCAACAACCCTGCTTCGCTCCCCGCGCTGCTCCTCTTTCCTCGTCGGCCATAGCCCGCTGGCCCGCTCTTCTTCCGCAACTGCATCAGAAGCCGCAGTCCTCGGTCCCTGCCTCCTCCCTCCTCCTCCTCCTCTCTCTCTCCTCGGTCAAACCGCAGCTCCTCCCCCTCCTCCTCCTCTCTAACCCCGATCCCGCGGGCCACTCCCCCAATCAGAAACAGCGAGACGACCCGAAGCCGAAAAACCGAAGGAAATCGCAGGACACCGAGAAAAGCGACCGAGCGAGCGATCGAGCGACGCAATGCTGTCCTCTGCAGTCGAAGAAGTCGTAGCAATAGAAGAAGAAGACGAAGAAGCAGGTCTCACTGCTGCGCCATCCTCTCCCCCTCCCCTCCCCTCCCCTCCCCTCGTGGCAGTCTGCCTCCTAAGCGGACATCATCTTTTCTCCTCCACTGCTCTGCCTCGCCTTCCTCTTCCTCTTCCTCCTCCTCCTCCTCCCCTCCCCCTTCCAACTCCACCCGGCGGACGACCTCTGGTCTGCACTACTACTACCACAACTCCTGCCCCGCCTCTGCTGCCGATGCCGATGCCGCTCCTGCTGCTGCTGCTGCTGCTGCCGCTGCCGCCGGAGAACAAGCGCGGCATCGGCATTCTTTTCTCTTTGGCTGTGCATGCACGCCAGCCAGTTCACGCCTCGGCCTTCCCTTCCCTTCCCTTCCCTTCCCTTGTCTTTGGCGAATCTGGCCTGCGCTATAAGAATCGGGGCCCGGGTCGGGTAAAAGCGTTATCACACACCTGACCGGCCCAGCCCGGCCCGGCCTGGCCCTGCCCTGCCCTAACCCTAACGAGTTTCCTCCGACGGGCATCTCGTCGTGCGTTCCGTGGCTACCACGTACGGGCCGGCCCTCTGACATGGGGAACCTTTCGACGTAGTCTGTGTCTTGTCTTGTCTTCGTCGTCGTCGTCGTCGTCGTCGTCGTTCACGAGGAGTAGTAGGACCGACGATAATTGATGACTCTCCCGAGGCTTTACGTGCGAATATCGGCCCGTTCTTGGCCCCTTCTCGTACATAGTTGATTCGGGGACCGTGCGCACTGCGACTGCAGTCCTCATCTCTCTCTCTCTCTCTCTGCGACCCGATTGAAATTACGGTCGCGTTGCCGAGTCGGTCGAGACTAATGGGAAGACCGCTTTTCTGTTGGGCTAATCCTTCCATCTACCCGTCTTGCGCCTACACCGCAATTATATGCAGCTCCAAGGATCGGCTTTGTTTATTGAAACTCGAGTTCTTAAAGCGGGTCAGCGACATACAACATTTAAGACCGTCAGGTCCGATTAAAAGAACACGTATTCACGATTTATTCATCTGTATCAGTAAACGTAAAGCTTTCACGCATTATCAAATTTCTGCTAATTGTTAGCTTTTCCAGTCTTCTCTTCCATGCAGGCGATATAATCAAGCATTTCAGAACGGCCCGTTTGTGTATAACGGGGTGACAATAAAACAGGTTATGCGTAAAGTAACTCTTGCATGCATTGAGTCTCAAGAATAACATGTAAAATAAGATAGAATTTATAACATATTATCACTATCATCAACATAGGTTTATTTCTTTTTTATTTTTATATTTAGAACAAAATTGGTTCATTTTACTTCGATTTCACTTTTCCATCTGTAAAAAGTATCCGTTGTATCGAGTTTATTTTTTTGGTCTTATTCACAAGGAGCTATTTCAAGGTTGTACTTGATACTGGAGAAACAACATCTCCACTATAGCAACATAGCTGACTTTAATTGAGAATGTGCCCAAGAAGAATATGGTGACAGTCTTTGTCGAACAACAGCAATATTTTTGTTTGACTTTTTGGCCAAATTAATAATTCCTTTTATCCATAAATGCTCTAATACCAGTATGAGTCAATATTGTCATAAAACTGAAATAAACGTGTATGTTCCTTTGAATGTAAGTTCATAAACAATTGATGGTTTCTCAAAAATAATCAACCAATTTACATTGACTTTAAATATATAATAATATTATACTTTCAAAACACTAATTATTTGTTTGTTACATATTGATTTCCATATTTTTTTTTGGAGAAACATTCTCAGGCTACAGAGTTCGATTCACAAAGACACTGCGATGAAGTTCCATCAATATTGTATGAAGCAAAATTTTGACCAAAAGTGAAATTTAAGTTTCATTGAGAAACAATTTATGATCATGGTTGCAAGATTCTTACGTATTATTAATTTTTTCTCTTTAGAAATTTTCGTAATATTAACGATTTTATTCAAGCACATTTAGTTTCATATGTAGATTAATCTTTGTTTTGAACATCTTCCAAATAAAATATGTAATGCTACACATAATCTATTCCAAAAATACAAAAATGCATTTCATATATAAGATTATAATTACATACTTTTCATATATCAGTATCGATCAACCAAAGAAAATCTTACACGAAATTAATGTAAAATATCATAAATGTAATATTCATACACTAAATACGTTTAAATATTCAATTTAGACAAAACATTGCAACTTCAATGATTTTTATTCTCAAACCATTATAACAAGTCTACTCTCATGTATATGCATAAAAAATTCATCTTTAATAAAAATTGTTTATTAAATAAATTCTAATATTTTCGGATTTTTTACACATTTTGATTTTTATGATAAATCCATGATTCAAACATCATGTTTAATATATAACGTTCTAAAAATTTGAATTTTTTATAAAATTTGATTCAATCATCTCCGTGTTGTTGAAGTTGATATCATAAACAGTTGAAAGTAACTGTTGAACCAAACTGAAATCTATTGATTCTCCTATGCTAGGAAATAATCATATTTACAAAAAAATAAAGATATGATTGCTACAACATTTGTAAAAATTAGTAACTATATTTATGTTTTCACATACTATAGTAAAGATATTTAATTCTATTCTATGACATATATATATCATCATGATGTCTAAAACTATATAAAATTGATTGCACCATTATATTCTGACTATATTCAATGAATAGAAATGAAAAATTTTTAAATTCACATAATTATTGCAAAAATTTATCAATGATATATTTTAAATTTATTTATGAAAAATATTTTACTTTTATAAATTTTATAAATTTTTTTATATTCAATGAAAAAAGATTTAAAAAATACCCGAAATTAAAAATATGAAGTCAAATAATGATGAAAACTATATTTTTTTTCATTGAACTAAAAATTAAATTTTTTTTGCATAGCTTTTAATTTTTAAAATAATATGCTGTACGTTAATTAATAAATACTTGAAAACCATTTTTATATATTTATGTTGTGAATAAATAGTATTCTGAAAATGAAATTAAACAAAAAAATTTTCCAATTTTTTTTGGAATTTTATACATTCATAAAATTAGAAATTTCAATCCTTTTTTAACAATTATTTTACCAAATATCAAAATTATTTAAAATTTTATATCTTTATCAAAATTAAAACTAATATCAACAATCTTTGATGTTCATATATCTTAAAAACGCAAATTTTTACATATAATTCAAATAAACGTCATTAGAGTATGTCATTTACTACGTAAGGTTAAAATGATGATGACGTGCATGAATGTCTACTTGGTGGATTTAAACAGCAAATGGGCAATCTACAGTTCACTCATAGTTGGTCTTTTGAAAAGCTCTTCACGTTTCCAGAATGGTAGTAAATTTGTAATGAGTGTGATTTAGAGGGTTTTAGTAGGCGAGAATGAAACTATCGTTGCAGTTCTTACTGAAGGATGCACATATGCGAAAAATCAAGGGCTTGGACATCACAATCAACTCAGCTTGAAATGCAATAAATTGTGGAAGGCAGTTAAACACCGACCTTGGACTCTCCACATGTAATGTTTACAGTACAGGGGGCTTAGCCCCAGTTTACCCCGATATAAATTCAACGATTGACTTCTTGATGGTCTTGCCTTCAAGAAATCATTTCTTGGTTCGAATTTATTGATTTATTAGAAAAAACCTCCATTTAGAAATCTTGTGATTTCATACGGACAACTCAATTCGCCGTAAACTGTTTGAAATTTTCGGTGAAAATGATCTCGGTGTACACATTAAAAGATTTGGTAAATTCTCGGACAAAATGATAAAATAGTTGATATCTCGTCTTGAAAACCTACCAGCATATAGTAACCTACTATTGTCATTGGAATTCAGAATATAATTGTCGAACCTCACAGTATATACTCCGTATACATTGATCTTCATGGTAGATGGGAGAAGAGCCGACTCGACAAAAGAAAAAAAAGAGGACAGTTAGCAGATGCAACAAAATAAAATAAAATAAAAATCGATGACAAAGTGCATTAGAAACCTACCCCACATCCGGACGGTGGACCAACGCAGGGGATTCAAGAAATTGAGATATGCTCGCTCCTCCCCTTTTAGTCAAGTAGACTGAATGGACAACTCACATGTTTCATTCATGCTATCTTAGTCGATCATGAGGAGGAAATGGCCAGCTCAAGATTTTGTTCTGGACAGCAATGTGGGGTAAGTCGGATCGATTACGCAGAAATGGGCCGCAGAGAGTTACCGTAGCCGAATGCAAGCGGGAAGGACGAGGAGAATGGAGTATGGATCAAGGAATGGAATCGGCACTAAACTGGTAACCGAAACAAAACACAAGTGGGGTCGCAGCGGGCCGGTGACATGGTACGGACACCGCCGCCAGCCGTCATGTAGGGCAGTGGAACGTCATGCTGCCAACCCAAGTTAGAGCATGCAGTTACACTGGTGATGTGGACGGTGCGATGAGACGTTCTGTTACACTTCGCAGTGCCAGAGCGGCTTTGTTGTTTGTTCTCCATTCTTGTATCGGAGCCACGGTGAGGCTATAGTGGGTTGCATCAGCTGCCCAGCGTGGCGGAGCGGGCAGTACACGTATATTATTGTACGCGCATGACACGTGCCGCCGCGCCATCACGGCGGTGCGTTATACTGGGACGAAGCGGAAGTTGCGGTGCGCTTTTCTCTGTCGACCGGGCGGATGGAGGACCCCGAAGGCCCCAGCGGCGGCCACCTCATCGGCAGGCAGGGATTTGGCTCTTGACGTGGCGACGCTCGTTCTACGTGTCCAGGAGCCGGAGCTGCAGCAAGCACTCCGGTCGGAGCTGAAAGGGTCGGGGGGCTTCGGCCGAAGGAAAGGGACCAAGAGGTGGATGACGGGGCGAGAGGAGGTTGCTATTCTCTCGATGCCCTCGGAGCATCATGCCACTCCTCTCCGTTGCTCGCTCAGTCGAGAGCCCTGCCAGCGAGAGAAAGTGAAAGCGAGAGAGAGAGAGAGAGAGGGAGGGAGGAGGTGTCCTCAGTGTGCACATCATCTCTGCCTCGGCCCGATTTGCAAGTGGTCAATCATTGGGGCCTTACGCGTAATTTGATCTATGGGTGGAATCGAGTTCTTCGATCGTCTCGGGCCCTGCGGATTCGACAGTCGCTGCCGTCTGAGAGGGACGAGGATCGAGCGCGGGAGTTTGGATGGGGGGATGGGACGGGAGGGATCCGTGGAAAGTAGGTGGGCAGGTTTGTAATCGAGGGCCCCGGATGTTGATGTGGCATGCAAGTCGGGGCTAGGTTCGGATAGGACGGAAACCGGGGCGATGTTGTTGCTCCGACCACCTAGATCCTCGTCATGAGGTCTGAGAGTGAGAGTGGAAGTAGGCTGGGACGGTCGGGGTTGAGTAGGGATGTGAGTGAGTGCGTGGGTGTAGGTGGCAGTCAATGGGGTTACATTGTACTGTGATTTCATGTATTTTTAATGTTGGACATTTGTCGCACGGCGAAGTTGCCGATTTTGAAGGTGTGCTTGTCGTAGTCGCTGGAGTGTTGCAGTCGGGTGACATGTGTGGAGTAGGTTTCCTCGCAACAATGTTGCGTTCGTCCTCATTCTTTGTCGTCTGAGTTGGTCTTGCTTTTCTCATATCTCCGTTCTGGGATTAGGCACTGTGGACTGTTCGGAGCCACTCTCCCGAGTAACTGGTGGTAAGAGTTATGATCGTATCATGTGTGCGTCTCATCGCTCGGGAAGCTTTTTTTCTCCCTTCCCATTCAATCAGACGGTTCTGGCTCCCACTGTGTCAGTTGGTCTTACCAGTAGATCTGTTTTTTTGTGCTTCATGTGAACTATCGGCAGTCCCTCCGTTTTCTTTTTTGCATCCATGTGTCACAGGAGCTCGCCCACTCAGCCACACATGTTTGTACGACAGCCACGGCTATTCGTGTTCAGATGTCACTCTGTGTCGATCTCACGGAATTGAGAATTGTCGCACTCCGCAGTCGACCTCTGGCCGTACATTTAAATCGTCTTCGCCATCCTTGCTGGAGCAGTGATTTGGACCTAACGATGTTCTGCGTATTTGGTAGCTGTCGTTGGTTGCAGTATTAAACTGGTCACAGAGGAGTGAAGAGGCGACCGAGGTCTTTCCAGGCATTGCATTTTCAAGTCCGCAGCGATGGCGTTGGACAGAGCTTGGTTTAACCCGGTCATTCTGAATCCCAAGGCATTGCCGGCCTTGCTGCACCCCGTGCCCAAGGATAATCCCCACAGGACTGACGTTGTGGTGGATGAAGGGCCTTACGGTACTCATGACGAGTTCATGGCTTGTCCTCCCAAAGTTCCGCACAACTTGAGAAATGACGACATAGACAAGTCGATGCCCAGATGGACCATCAAAGAGCCATTGGATCCTCTGGTGACTTTCAAACTCTTAAACACAGCTCATTTGCGCGTTAGTCCTCATTTCCATCATGTGCTGCTCATCACACACGAGGGGAGGATTTAGTGCTGTAATTCATGCAAGTCAGTAGACGAGCCGAACAAGTTGAAGTACGCAAAGTTTTGCGGCTGTGAATGGGGAATGTGACCGGACTCTGTTGGTGCGAGATGTAGACACTCGACAAACCATACCCGCAAATATGGCTTATAGGCGAGGAGGTGAAGACGAAGAAGAAGGGTGCAAATATGGAAACGAATCGGCATACAAATCCCTTGGATCCGAAGTATATACTGCCGTCTGGAGAGTGCTTGCTGCCGGCCGGCAACTCAGATGTAAATTTCTTGTTGAGCACTTCACGGCAATTATTACACACCGAAAAGAACCGTTTCTTTGAATCATGTACCCAAAGGTTGTTTCTCCAAGTTTAGAGATTAGGTCGTCAGTAGAGGTACAGAGTATCTGCTGACACGATGAAGTGTCAACCATAACCACAATCGGAAACCACTCGAAGGTACCTGTCAGAGAATACTTCTGACTTGGTTGTACACATCCATGCCCAGTTCTTCTCCAACAGAGTGAGCAATCCGATGGACTGTAGTGACATCGAAGGCGCAAAGCCCGAGGCCTTCAGCAAGCGACCATACAGGGAATGCTGTGGAGAGTGTGAAATAGATCCGAAGACTCGCCCAGCCAAACTCACTCACACGTACGAGGCTTCCTTCACGTCGAAGCTTTTAATTTGGAGAATAATCTGCAAACGAACCAATCAGTAAACTGATGCACTTAAAAATCTCCTTGAACGACTGAGCCCAACCCCACATGCATGTGACTTTTGATCATATAGTTTTCTACAAAAACGCGGGCCTGATCCCTAATCGCCTTTTCCATTCGCAGGAGGGAAAAGTGTAACATCGGAGGATGCTTGAATTTGTTTGACATCAGCCTTGGGAAAAAACATTTCGGGTTTATCAGATATCCACAATCCAATCCATGCGACCCGATTTACCCGACTGAACCTCACGAGACACCGCATATGAGTAAGTCAGCTGCTATGAGAATATACACTGCTGAAAGACTTCATCATCATTTTTCAAAACTCGCTTCGAATGAGTTCCTTTGTAGAGAATTTGTATATTTAATATAAGGGATGATGGTGGAAAGTTTTAAGTTGCCCACGATATTTATGCAGAGTATAAAAGACTCAAGAAGGCCGTCCTACCGCCCCACAAAGAGAAGTCGAGTGTAGCCGAGAGGGCTCTCGATGTTGTAAGTAAATCAGAAGGATATGGAAAGAGCCAGTAGATAAAAACTTGGTGGAGTACAGTTTTTAGTTGCTGGTTACATTTTCTCCTTCTGAATGGTGGGGTAGCCTGCCAACTGAGCGATCTCTTTAGTGAGTTCGACGATAGGAACGACCACTATATTCTTCGAATAGATGATCCGATGATAGTAAACAGCAGAAGGAAACGATAAGAAGGGAATGGTAATGCATGCACATTTGCTAGTAACCGGATGAAAGTCCTCATGCCTTGGAGCATAAGCAAAGTTTCATGGCAGAAGGTGTCGTACCTTAAAACTGTGTTCTGTCCTTCGATGAGAGCCGTAATTTCAACCAAATATTTCTGGGCGGCAGATGTATTGGAAAGCGGAGCAGCTGCCAGATGTATGCAGACGATACGGAAACCTTTACTCGGTAAGTCATCTCCACTTCAACTTTGAGACTATATTGAATGCGAGGATGTTTTGCTTCTCTTTATGTTTCAAGTATTCAAAAACTCTTCCAGCTGGATTTCATTACTGGCCACAGGTAAGGATAACACCCGCTTGATGACAGGGTTGTGTGGATTACGAGGGATTAAGGAAAAGCTTAGAGCAATTTGGACTGAATCTCAACGACAAGGATTATGCCAGACTCCTTCGTTTTGCAGATAAAGAGGGAAGAGGTGTGGTAAAGTGAGTTGTTTTACTCTTCCTCTGACAGTGCACGGCTAAACTACTTTCATTCTTTTTTTATGCTCTATACGTTCGGCTGTACAAGTTTTTGAACTTGATGGTCTTGTACACCTTGGGCGATCTTCTCAGACATTGGATGACTTTCATGAACTCACTGCCTCTTCTGTGCTATCTGCGCGTTTCAGTGCAAGGGACTTCGCGGCGCAATTGAGGCACAATGATGGGTAAGTGCTGTCAGTCTCAGTCGTAAAAAGGCAAGCTTTCTTGACAGGCTCAGATCGAACTGTACATAGATGTTCCAGAGTAAAAAATAAGATTGAGGCGCAAGGAATCTCACACCCCTTCATCTAAAGAAGGTACACTTAAGTTTCCACAGCAGGGTTCCACAAAGATTGAAAGTTTATGACTGAAGGTTGTAATCATCTGGGCTTGAAATCGAATAAGCTTGAGCAGAATCTACTGCAAAGTAAAGAAATGATGTAGACGACGTAAAGTTGACAGGATGCTGCTGGGTCTGTAAATATCTGGTGGTCGTCATAGCACAGGCCGTTTGACAATGTAAACTTTTCGCCACAGTGAATGCCAAACATATTTTCGATATATATGATCACTGTATGAATGAATGCTAGTGAGCACTATTCAATTACGACTTCCCAACGATATACATCGCTTTCAGTTTGGAAGTGGACCAGGCACACAAACTTGGTTACAACCTCGGGGTAAACTGGGGGCACTTCAAGTACGCAGCTCAAAAGCCTACGTGCATGGGCCAAGGTTGTGCAGTCATCGTCGAAGACAAACCGTCGGGTTGCAAGAAGATTGTTTGGTAGGTCATCAACCTTCCACTTTTCAAGGCCAGATACTTGCTCCTTGTGTGAGAAGGAGATAGCAGAGACTCGTGAGCGAATTCTCTTTATAAGACAATGAAATAGTTGTTAAAGATACAAGCTACGGAGTGACTTCACTAATGTCATGTAAGGATTTTTAAGAAGAATGATGCATTCGAGAAGAGACATTAATTGTAGTGCTCAAAAGTACAGCATACACTACAATTGTACGTCATGGGAACTTACTGCATATGAAATATAAACATCGCCAGCAACCTTTGACTGTATAATCGGGATCGAGAGGAGAGGAGATAATCAGAATCTGAAAGCTACTTAACATAGACAAATTTGAAGTTGAACCACGTAGCTGCTTTCACGAGCTCTAGTGGAAGACAAACACTAGTTTTTGTGCGTTATTTTTAATAAAGCTAACGAGTGCTTTCTGAGGGCTTTCTTGAGCAATTTTACAGGGCTGATAATGAGCAGAAGTACAATCCGTTCACGGGAGAAATGCTCCCATATCAGAGACCAGCCATGATGTCTACTGGAAATTCGTTTCAGTACAAGTAGGTAATTTCGAACCAGTAAAATTATTTGAGCTTTATCCAGTACGAGACGGTCTGAATTCCTTTGATGAAAGTTTGCAGATTTGCAGATATGGAAAGATAGAATATAACGAAGCAAAATTCTGGGCCGTGCCATTCATATGACATTTTAAGAAATAAGGACGATTGACAGAATTCTCCGCCGCATTATAATCCGAGATCTTCTAGTTTACCATTTCATCCTTCTTCTTATTCTCTGTCTTATCTATATTCTTCGAGTTCAATAAACAGATTCGTCCAATACTTCTGTCTTCTTCAGAATAGAAACGCGTGGGGTTGCCTAATTGTATCTACCAAGCAAGAGAATGGTCGCTGAGGTTGTCCACAGGGTAGTATTAGTGTCATCACATGGCACATTGCTGTGTTTGTAGAAGGTCGCCGGACGAAATTCGAGCTTACGTCCACTGTATTCAGCATTCGTTTATGCACACTTCCACTTTTGGATATGCACAATTCCAGAACCTCAAATTTCGTAGTCTTGTGTGCGGGTGTATTAATTTCCGATTTTCCAGATAGTCCTTGTATCTTCCCTTCACAAAAATTGGTCCAAGGATCCTTTTCGATCTGTTCTTGTCTAAATCGCTCCTTCCTCTGATACGGCAGCCAATGCCTCCCACCCAGAAAGCACAACAAGTCTTAAATTGTGTATTTCCGGGCTGATAAATGGACCTTCTTACTCTTAGTAGATGTTTTAACATGCAATTGTTGACTTTGTCGAAAATCATCAGCTTCGCTTTCTTAGAATTCCTTAAAATTCTGGTCAGAGGAAGGTAGTGCTTCGTCATGTCCTAATTTGAAAACAGTCTGCTTCGGATTGTATGTTCAGTCTTGCAGAGATCCAAGCCGCGATGTTTTTGAAAGACAAAGAGAAGAATTACTACATCCCAGGCCCTTACATTCCCAGAGGATCCATACCCGTGACCCATTCATGTGCAATTTCGAAGTCTTGTACACTGCCGCATGTTTTCATGGAAGGAACATCATCTCATCCCGAAGGTGCTCATCATGACCATGTTCATAAGCATTCACCCGAGCCGCGAGGTTCGCAGTTTCTCGCACCAGAATTCTTAATGCAAGCTCTTCCGCAAGCGCCTGAACAGCGGCCACAGAAAGTCTCCTTCCAGGTTCTATGTCACTCATATTGCCTTCATTAATTGATCGTATTTTTAAATCGTATGAAACCAGTCGATTGATACGTATTGCTAGACCTGTCTTAGTCTGTGTTACTAGCTGGACGAATTGGTTTTTGGCATCGTGTGAGGAAAATAATGTGTGCAGTATATTTCTCTTTGAGGGAAATATCGATCCTCCAATAGCCTAGAAGTAAATTGTAATACGTGTTTGTAGTGGATGGATGCCAGAGGTTTACATCTGTGTGCCATGGTCTTCTTGATGTTCACAGATCCTTCTTCCGCTATATTCGGATTCGTCTAAACCTGCTTTGATTGTGTCCAGTCCGAACCCCTTCTAGATTTTATTCTAGATTTCCAATTCATCGACTTATTCATATGCTCATGGGTGTTTCTCCGTGGCTTCCGAGTGAAAGCTTTCTATTTGAGCATTGTAGAGGAATCGTGTCTAGAGAGTGGGAATATGCTCATAATCCAAACACTAACCCTTGTGTGTGGCTAAGATTGTAGTCTTCCTTCTCTCTAACTCGCTGTGAAAACGGACATGCTCCACCGGAGCATTTTCTTATATATTCTGTCATGAAAGTTCATTCTCTTTTTCTCGTAGAAAGACAGCGGCACGACTAATATGGAACTCCTGTTCCATCCGTTTTGCTCAATTCGAGAGGCTTCTCTCCGTCACTCACTAGTGCTCAGGTTTGAGCTATTAATTTCTGGGCAGGTAGATTGTTGAGAAATTTAACATTGTTGCGATCAGTTTATTCTTCATCTCCTATGTGGTCTTCGTCAACTTGGCTCTCGAAGATGCCAGTCGTGGTTTTGTTGTTTCCAAGCAGAAAATAAAGTTTTGCTATCTACCTCCGATGGGTGGCATCGATCATTTTCGTGCTTCAAAGCACCCTGTTCTTTTTCGTTTCGGGTCTCAGGCTGGAGGTGGATGCAGGAATATCATAACATGTACCTAGATTCTTAAATAATGAATGTAACGCAAGAACGGACAAGCACACCCAAGACATTCCACTTCCTGCACTTGTACTTAACTTATCCATCGGTGCGTGTTGTCTCCTTATTCCTCTGGGCTCCTCCTACTGTCAGTAGGTGAGACAGGATACGTACGTATGAAAGGGCAATGTGCGGGTCCTACTCGTTTTTTGTCGGAGTTTGAATCTGCCCGTAAGCCCGTACCTATTTGGTTTACAGGTCCCACTTCCTGTGGAAATGGGCGGACGAGCATCTCTTTTAGACACTGCCAAAGGTGTAGGTGCTGTTGTACGAAAGGCCTCGATAGAAGGGCGGAAGCTTTCTGAAGGTTTCATCAAATTACCATCACTAACAGCGTGAGCTTTCCTACCCCCGAAAATGTTCATTGTTGGTAACTTCCCGGTAAGACGGTGCATAAGGTTTCCTTCTCTTCAGCGGATAGTGTTAAGATTGAGACATTGCATGAACTCGCTATGGCACCTACTCTCCAGTAAGATAGGGTGAGGGTACATGTTCGTCGACAGTAAAAAAAAACTCCATGAGATACTGTAGCTACAAAGTTTTGAACTTGATATAAATCGATGAAGAACTCCCAAATATATATATGGTTTTTAAGGCTCGTGGTGCTTATTGTTAATCAACTCACAGAGCAAAGCCATCAAGGATCAGCTACTATACTTTGTGTCCCACAAAGTATAGTGTGGCCTCATGATGACCATCTTATAGTCGAGGATTGCGCACCTTTTTTTCAGTTCCTAATGAGGATTGAGTGACTAGACCAATGCAAAGTCATCATATGTATCATTGCAGGATCAACTCGGTTCCTATACCTGTGAACAATGATAAAGGCGATGAGGTGAAGTGGAGGCGTGTGGAGCCCCCAAAACAGCCGAGACAGCCTTATGTCTCTTACAGAGAACGAGTGAAAACATCTCACCGAACTGCAGATATTGAGGCCGTAAAGAGCCTGATTTTGCCCTAAGTGGACACTGACCACTTCTTTTATCTTGCGTTGGTTCTTACATCACCTCTTCGCCGACTCGAGTCGACTGAAGAATTGATCGGTTGGAGGTGCTTAGCTGCGGATTTGTGTTGACAATGATAATGTTGCACCATTAACAATGTCTTACCACTGAATTCAATCACTTGATCATACTTGAAAAGGTAAGGGCTCAGCTTCTCACTATGTAGTTACTGAACTTGGCATCTTTAGTGCTTCAGTGGTGTCCTAAGGAGTCGACAAACCTAGCACTTGGTCTTATATCCTTGCTTGATTGCAAAGGATATCCGATTCACTTGAAGATGCTGCGTACAGACTGTATCGAAGGGTGAGCCAATACGTGAACTCAGACGCGATGAAAATCACTTCTACATTTGTTCTGAACGGCAATTGTTTAACAAAATCAGCTGTCCGGAGGAAGAAACTGGACGCAATCTTTATGCCGTAAGGATGCGGAACTCCCTGTATCACATATTCACTAAGAAATGAAACTTTTGCACTGATGACTCTCTTTGTCAATACACGTGTCAACCTTTCTTCGTGTAGACCGCTCCATTAGTCTGTGGGCTTCGTGAAACGTGCCTGTAGCTAGTTGCCACGATTGTTGTGTAGGAGATCTATGTCTTCGCTGAGCAACATGATGTCTCAGGAAGTTGGACCTTGGCATTCTCTCGATGTCGATATGAAATAAAGATATGAAGACTGGCACCGATTTGTTTTCGGGGTGATCCTAGACTGTAGTGATTAGCTCGTGAAGTCGCTTTCTTTCCGGCCACGTTTGGAAAGAAGTTCCATGTACCGGAAGGTGATCAGTGCTAATGATTGTTACATCGAGAGCAATCACGTGTGTGATTCCTTTCGTCCTTCCGGGTAAGATAGATTGGGGTCCCATCTTCCAAATCGAAGAATAATTACATACGCCTTGCATGCTTGTTGACATCTTGCATGCTTGTTGTCATCCGGGTAAGGAAGCTGGTCGAAGATCGTAGTCGGCAATCAAGAGCAGCAACCTGAACCCTAAACTTCACCAACCCAACTATGTAAACTTCTGTTAAGGATTTCATCCAACAACCTGAAGATATCGAGGTGAAGATTTTGCCACCATCTTTCAGACTAATCTTCCTCTCGTTTTGGGGACGTAATGACACAGATCGATGTCATTGATTTTGCATTTCAGCAAAGTCAATGACAGATCTTTGTGACTACATCCTTGGGCTCCTTGGGCGTATTGGAACACTGGTAGAACCTGAAGATGTTGCCACCATCGTTGAGTCAAATCTTTCTCTCGTTTTTGACGTAATCACACAGATCTATGCCATTGATTTTACATTTCAGTAAAATCAAGGGCAGATCTTTGTGACTACATCCTTGAGCGTATTGGAACACTGGTAGAACCTGCAGATGTTGCCACCATCTTTGAGCCAAATCTCTCTCTCGTTTTGGGGACGTAATCACAGAGATCGATGCCATTGACTTTACATTTCAGTAAAGTCAAGGGCAGATCTTTGTGACTACATCCTTGGGCTCCTTGGGCGTACAATTCGGAACACCGGTAGAACCTAAAATTCATCTTCCTGTACAAAGCTGTCAGTCGATCCCATCACTTGGGCTGTGCCACTGCGTACCGAGTCTTACTTGACTTCTCCATCCCAGCTCTGCGTCGGAATCAACGTAGATCAAGGTGCTCGCTCAAAGCAAAACCTCACAGCGAGTTGGTTGCAGTACCTTGATCTGATCTGCTCACAACATAACCTACATCCGAATCACTGTCCCGATCAGATCGATCTCTCATCCTTACACGGAGACTGCCAATTCTATCTCATCTCCTAAAATCTGCGCATCCAGCAGCATTAATCAGCAGTGTGTTCGACGAAAGACAGCTCCTGATCAGATCGATCTCTCATCCTTACCCCAAAACTGTCAATTCTATCTCGTCTCCCGATACCGGTGCGCATCCGGCAGCATACTTCAGCATTTGGTCGACGAAAGACGGCTCGCTCCTGACTGCCACCTACACTACGCCTTTATAGCTCGTCGAGAGCCAGAGATTCTGAGCTTTCAATAATTGTCCAGCTGTTCTGACACTCCCGGAGCCCATTCTGACCTCTGACCCTGACAGAAAGGATAGAGCTTCATGACGTCGGCGTCGTCAGAGGACGAGACTGGCGGATGACCGTCGGTCACGGTCGAAGAACTTGAGACGGATCGGTCCAAGGGACCAATCTGGGTCCATCCGGAACATGCCTGCTAAGATTCCAATTATTCAGTTGACTATTGGCCTCAATCGTGTCTCCACTTTCGGTTGCTATAGTCGGCGAAACCACTGCACGATCTTCATCTTTGAGGTTGTTCTCTTCAAGTATTGTATATGGTGGGACAATAATATTGATCAGAGAATGAGCATACATTAGAGCCTTGCCATGCATCACGTAATCATATCACCGTAATGACAGAAGAACTGGAAAGGAAAAACTTGTGTACCAGATCAGAGTTCATAGGGGTTTTGTCATGCATGTGCATACATCGCAGTCCGTCTGGATGTTCAGCACGAGACAAGCAAAGAAGGCATTGCCTCACCTTCCCTATTGGTTTTCTCCATGTCTCATGTCATCATGTTCATGTTCATCTTGTGAGTATTGCAAACTTTCCTCCCAATTTACTTAATTCCTCTAAATTCCTTCAACCATTATTCTAAAAAAAGTAGTATGCATGTGTGACGTCTTCTTCTTTTATCATTTGGCCCACCAATTTTGAGAAGGTATTTCTTGTTGCGTTGAGTACTAAGGTTGGCGATTTCTTTAGGCATGGCCACCTTCTAGTTAACCGGTTCAGTGAACTCTTAACCTATAGGTCCATTCAAAACTTTTGAAAAAACAGTGATGCAGGCCAAATTTTATCAATTTTGAGTAGCTTGCTCTCGAAATCAGCCTTTTCCGTTTGTCAATTTCATCATCATCTCGATGTTTTTGTACATTTTGATCAATTTGGACGAACAAAGCCAACAACTCTCCGTAAACGCTGATTCAGATGCCACAAAAGAACCTTGAATCCTCTACGTGTCCTTGTGTAATGTTGGAAAGCATTTGTAGTGATGTTTCCATCATAACAGTACGTCGGACACATGAGGATCTGCTTTCATCGTGAGCATGAAGAAGTCGTTGACCTCGTCAGTGTATACAATGTTAACAAGCAATGTCTGCCTCTCCAGCAAATAGATCAAATACATCGGAAGTTGGAGGTGTTAGTTTCTTCAAACACAAGCCATAATCCACCGTCAAAATGAATCGGATCAGGTCTTTGAATTCCATCATTTTAGAGTACGCATTGCTGGATCGAGTATCAAGAAACAAAGCAATTTTTTGGCTTGACCATTCAGATTGACACTTTATTTCAACAACTTGAGTTCCATGGCAACAACATCTTTTTTGACGATCGGAGTGGTGAATCAAGTATTTAATTGTCAAGAACGGTTGTTTTTCAACTTAGTAAGGAGATGCTTGTAGATCAGGGTTGGAGAGAGAGTGAAACGTAGCCACGTCCACTGGCGACAGTGCAATAATTCTCAGATTGCAAAATGTATTTGCATGATTTGAGAACATGCCGGTCACATGAAGCCATATTGGCCAATCTATCACACAATTTTTCAAAATTACAGAGTGCTAAAAATACATCACAATACTTAAAGAACTGGTTCATCATGGTGAACATAGAATCCAATGCTTCTTCACATCCAGACCTAGAATTTCAACACGGTACTTAAAAACGTCTAGCACAACAGCCGCTTTTAAAAACTTGACACGAATAACAACGGATTTACAAGAAGCCTTGAGGATTTGACGGAGCATGGTGGTGTCTCCGGTAACGACATGGATACATTAGTCTCGGATGACAAAATGGGATACTTGATAACCATTTCTCATGAGATTGGTTAAACTTGATCGAACAGTGACTTAGCAAAAATTTTCCTATGTCCTATTATTTCGGATAAGAATGAAAATGTTCTTGACCGAAGAACCAGTTTTATCTTCATAAACAAATGCATCTACCCTACTTTTCGTAAAAAGTTTATGAGGTTTCACGAGATTGACATCCATGAACACATAACAGATACTAGGGAATAAAAGAAAACACAATATATCTTGTTTTGCATCTAATCTCCAAAATTGCTCTTCTAGATAATAACATATTATCACAATCTGCATCGTTCTCCAAGTTGGTGCATTTATTTTCTATGCTTCTTGTGAAGATAGTGACGATCTTTTAGAAAAATACAAATAAAATAGAAAAATATACTCTTGGATCTCTTGTAAACTAGGTACCAGAATTTCCTAGCGTATTTTTCAACTTATCTTACAAGTGTCTCAAAATCTCCAAAGTTTTGTAGAAGAAAGTTTAGATATCCAAATCATTTCAAGGTTCTATCTTTGCCGCCAACATTGGAACATTTTTTTATGACGCTTGTATCCCACCTCGCCTACTCCTTAGTTGATCATCCAAGCGCAATCAACTGGTATTAACATCCGCAAAATGCTTGGATACTTGAAACATCAGGGTGTCAATTCCACTCTTGTACTCCCACTAGCAATAAAGAGATTTTATCATATTGAAGCCGGAGTAACGAAGACTTACTTCTCGTCTTCTGCAAACAAATGGTGTGATCAAGATAATAATGTAATTATTATCCTCATCCTCATCTCACACATGTGATTTCATAAATACTCATCATTAATTGTATGGAATTTTTTCTTTTTGAAAAAAAAACCAAACATAAAATTTTTCTTATTCACAACTCTTAGCTACAAGATAATATTGAATTTCAAATGTTCTATTTACATTTTATTTAGTCAAAAGAAGTTCAAAAATAATTATTTATTGATTGTTTTTGAAGAAAACAACAGATGTATAGAAGTAAATAAACTTCATTTTTGCAGAAAAATTTATCTAATATAAAATATCACTGTCTTTAAATTTTTAATTTTTAATACTTATAACCTATAGCTTTAAAATTTTGCATTGAGATATTGTTGGGAAAAAATCAGAAGAAAAAATGGTAAACAACAATGAAAAATAGGATAGAAAGAACTACTGCTCTTGTAATCAATAAATTTATATTGTAGTGCAGTTTAGAATATGGATGAAAATAACCATACAACAAGATGAAAAGAATGATATGTTGTAATAGATAAGAAAATTCATGTTAACAGTTTTATATTATTTCAAAGTTAGAAAAATAGTAATATGTTACTCCATACTTAAAATAACCTTGACTACTACTACTTCATTTTTTGATTACTTGAAGTTCAAAGATTCATCATATACACTAAAACTTCAAATATGCACACTTTAAATAACTACACATGTTGAACAAATAATGCATTGTTACTAATAATTTTTAATTCTAGATCTCATAATCAATTATTTGTTGTGAAAATTAAAATTGTGAAGATAAATATTGTAATTCTTTTTTGGTTACAAGCTTTATTCAAAATATATATGTTGTTGCCATATAAACATTGATTCAACATATTTTATATCAATCTACCATCTTCTACTTTCGAAATTTTTTTAATTTATGAACATGTTACTAAAAAACAACATGTCGCCAATGAAAATGCTTGTTATATGAAGATTAAATTTGTCAATTAAAAGCTACATGTTATTTTCTGTAACATATTTATACAAGTATTGAGTGAATGTATTTGTTATATGAAGATTGATTCTGTTAACTGAAAGTTAGTAATAACATATTAACAATGTGAGTAATTATTAGACATATGATAATATTATATTCCGTTATGAATAAAAGATGGAATAGATGATTTATATATATATATATATATATATCTCTCTTTCTTTATATAATGTTTCATCTTTGAATAATTTTTTTTTAATCTTTAGTGTTGCAATATATTGTGTTGTTAGTTAGATAAATGATGACTTTAATATAATGTTGAATTCAATATAAATATAAAACAAAATCAATTTTATTATAAATATATAAGAAATCATAAAATTTTTAACCTAATAATTGTTACAATTTAAATAAATAAATAAATATTTATCTTTGAAAATTTTCTGCTAATTTATACATAAGAGTGATGAAAATCATTCTAGATTTTTGAATATATCAAGAGTTTTTTTAATCTTGGAGTGAGCTATTATATTCTTCTCTAGTGTTACATTATTTTATATGAAGTAAAAATTTCTTATATTGAAACAAGATTAAAAATATACAATAAAAAAATATCCTATATTAATTTGACAAATTTTTTTTCAATATTTACAACTAGATCATTGAAACCCTTTTTTAACCAAAATCGTATAGATTTGAAAAAAATTATGATTTTACATAAACTCACGTCAAATTATGAATATTTTATTATAAAAATATGCAATTAACTACATATATTTTTATGAGTAGAAATATTTATGATAATAGATTTTTTGAATTTTGCTTTGCATGCATTTTTTATTAAAATTGCAATTTCAATCCACAAAATTGATAGTAGATTTAGGAATCATGAAAAAAACTTCAAAGTTGGAAAATAGAGAATATTTCTACGGTGAATACTAGATCACAGACATATATATTTGAAAATTTTGAAACATATTCTGCATTTGGTATTTTAAATAATGACAAAAGATACACAATATGTTTATCACTAGCTACTTTTAACAATAATTAATAAAATATCCGTCTCTGTTGTTTGTGATAGATATGTACGTGTATTGTGAAGAAATTGTTTTAACTCCCAATACTGACATTCTAACATTAATTGTAGAATTGGTAGCTACTTTTGCAAAAGCACCACAATAATTCTATTCAAGAGGGCTTGTAATCGATAGAAACAATTGGATGGCTAATATTTCTCTATACAGAGTTAAACCTCCCAATAGTGACATATTTTGTTACCGGGTTTTCCGTCACTATTGTGAAGTGTCACTCACACGAATAAAGTGTGTATAAATTTCTAATAATAACATACATTGGTGTTAGAATTGGATGTCACTATTGGGAGGCGCTTAATTTTAATATAACCTCCTATAAGTAACATACATTTGTGTTGGGGTTAGATGTCATTATTGGGAGGTGTCAATTATAATGAAAAACCTCATAGGTTTCTTATGGCGCATTACATTAGTTCGAGTACATTCTATAAATTTGATGTTTGGTTTCAAAATATAATTCATTTTGCACATTTGTATTATTCACGACGATGATTACGTTTGAATTCAAATTAATACACAAAAATTTGAATGAAACAATTGATGATAATATGTGTAGCAAATTACTTTATTGATGACCACAAAGATTGAACGGTTGAGATATATCTTTAAAGTAATTTAACCATAATGTTTTAATCTCTTAGTTATGTATTGTGATTATGATAATAATTTTTATTCTAAGAATACACTTGAAATTTCAATATGGATAATATCATATCATTATTGAGAATAGTGACATATTGAGCAGATTTACAAGTTAATTTGTAACTTGTAAATCTAAAACTGCATCTTTCTAACTTAACGGTTCTGGATTCTCACGTCATTAATGAGAGTACGTGACTCTAAGAGTTGAAATTATTGAGAGGTTTAACTCTGTACATTTTACCAGAGTCGAGGTAATCCAAAAAAGAGCACTGCCATTCGGAACTGGTGATGTAAATCGGGTACCGACAGTTTATCTTTGTTCCTTGTAAAGGGAAACCTCCTGATTCCCGGAACCCGTTCTCCTCCACTAATCTGGGAAGGCCATCCAGGCCAGTCGATAGATCGCGGGAATAAAACTTCACGTTACCCCCGGTCAACCCAAAAAGTGGGGCCCACGGAGGGGTAATCTTCGGCCCCTTTGTCACGCGGCATCGAAAGCCACGTCTGATAAGTCTGTGCTGTCAGGGACGCGATGACGAAGTCTGAGGTGGCATTGACCCCATGCGCAATGTTCGATTGGAGGTGCCACGCGGGGTCGAGAGCCGCTATTTTGCGCGAGCTGGTGACGGAAGCAGGTCGGTTGCGACTGCGTGGATCCGATGTGTTGCATCGAGAGTTCGTCGAGCGCTCGATGATTTCCTGAGAGGATAAGTCCTTGTCATCGCTGCCGCCGTCTTCTCGATTCGTGTGATTATGCTCGAGAGCGCGCGATTGTTTGGCTTGGAGATTATGGACGTCGACAAATGTGCGGAAGCCGACGATGGGATTGAGACCTAGCGTTCGAGCTTGTCCTCGTCTCCTCCTCCTCCCTCCTGCTGCGCGGTCTTCACGGGACCGGACTGCGATTCCCGCTTCGTAGCGGGTTCTTCTGTTCTCGTAGCCCAAGCCCAAGGTACGATTTCATGTCCTTCTGATCCCTCTGACCTTCTGACGTTCTGACCTCCTCTGGCGTGACCTCAAGTCAAACCATGCGGCTGACGTGTTCCAGCAGTTTGGCCTATCGGCAACTTGTGCAATTTTCACTGTCAGGCTCTTCTCCTCTGCAGTGCCTGCATCTGGAGCGAGCGTTCTTTCGTTTAGACTCGGGCGTTTTGGGATTCGTTGTTACGGTGCTTTGATTCGTAGTTGAGTGCAGAAGTGGGCATGTTTTCGCGGTCCCCCTGGTTTATATCTCCGGAGATGGTTCACAACGGAGGTTTTTCCATTGCTTGTACGATGATCTTTCTGAGTGTTGAATGTAGTCTAGTTTAAAGGCTTCTTCTGGATTGATGACAATGTGTCCCTACAAATCGCAGCGTCCTTGTCCTGCACATAGTTTAAGCGGCTGCGAATTCTAAGCGGAAGGGTAAAGTGCAACCGAGAATAACATTTCGTCGATGATCGCGAACAATTGCTTGTCTGACGTCAGCTGTTTGATAATTGTCTAATTTTATTAATGATAATTAATAAAATTCGGAATTGAAGATTAATTCGAACTGGGTTTTACTTCGTCTTTCGAGTGTCATAGTGTGTCCTTTTTTTAAGTATTGCTCCTGTTTCGGACTTGAGTTGTCCACAAAGTGGACATTTTCTCGAATAAGAGAAGTAAAATTTTTTCAGATCCAGTATTGTCAAATTCCCAGGAAGCTACAACAATCCCTAGTCAACAATTCTTTGTTCTTATCCTCCTCTATCATCTGAATAAACTCGGCTCGTATCCTCTCCGTCAGTCACTGAGTGTGGTTGCCAAGCTGGAAATTCGCTCATGCGATTTCTATGTTCAAATCTTGATTTTGGATTTGTGACGTTTTCTTAACTTGAATGGCAAGTAACAATCTTCTGCACACATTGTGGTGTATGCAGGCAATGCCGAAACAGAAGCCTGTTAAATACACCAGTTTTCCGCGAGGAGTCCTTCGGTTAGGTGTTGGTTGCGCTAGAGGAATCAGGGGAGACGAGCTTCTTGGACTAGGTATGAATTCGAATTCGTTCAAAGTGCGCCCCCTCCTCACGTTCTTATGTTCGTTCTCCATATATTCCTGTAAGATTTTTGCAATGACACATGTACAGCATGTGACGTCTGATTGCGACTTTTTGTTTGCAGGACGTAGTGACCCCTATGCGAAAATAACATTTGGCTCACAGGAAAACCCTCTAGAATGTACTACTAAAACCGACAAAAGTAAGTTGAAATCTACAGCTAGAACGTGCTATTGGTGATATCTGTCATGCAGGGCAACTGACCACCGGAGGGTTCTCTAGAATGTCTAGTCGATTATCTCCTGAGATGGCCTGAAGCCCGTTCTCATGACAACTCACCCGTGCAGATGCGGGATCAAATCCTTACTGGGGGGAGTGGTTCACTATGCCAATCACAGTACCGAACGTTGTGGAGAATAACAATCTCGTTGTACAGATCTACAACGAAAATCACTTGAGGTCCGACAATCAGATTGGATATTCCCGGTAAGTAATGTCTGGAGGCACCACCAGTGTGATGGACGGTGAGGAAAACTGCATCTGATTACTGTTATGCTTAGTTCAACTTTATTGTAATTTTCTTGTAGTTCGAAACCATGATTCATAAACATAAACTAGAATAATATTGAGATAGATCTCTGCATTTTGAGCGGGCATTGCTTACATTTCTGTCTCGAATGTGTACTTCTAAGTTTCCCTTCCGCTTACTTGAATATCTACCTCCACTTGTTCTTTTCTTCCGTAGTCCAGTTCAGTTAATTTGTTCTTTCCATTTGGTTGTCATTTCCATTACAGTTCGAGCTGTGTATTTGTGGTTTCTGTCCATCACAACTCGACACCTGCACTCACTGATTCCTCGACTTACTAACCTTAGCGCAACCTCTACATCGTTGAGTTTTCCGTCTTACTGATTGTCACGGTTCTGCTCTTGTTGCGTTTCTAGGTGAATTCACTAGGTCTCATACTGATACTAATTTTGTAGGTTTGGCTGCACAAATTATCGTGATAGATATTACCACGAAGCTCATTGTATTCCAGAAACTTCACTGCTCAAAATCTGTTCACGCTCGAGCCATTGAATCTGAGAATCCTGGGATGTATGGCCTGTGGGAACTTCAAATTCGTTGACCGTACTGAGCACAGATGTATGTTTTCGCAGTATCCACAACCTGGGAGAATTAGTAATGGGCTGTGAAAAGTATTCTACTGGGGAGGTGTGGCATATAGTCTACGATCCTGGCACACAGCTACCAAGAGGAGAGATTATGCTATCCTTCCGCTTCGAGCCAATGGGGGATGTAGAATTTGAAAAGTGGGTCAATGATCAAGTTACAGCTCTTACATTTCAACAGCCACCGACCCAGGCAAGTGGATATAGTCACCATTTGGGAATGGCGCTCACAGCTTTGCGTTTGTCGCGTGCCGGTCGGCTTGGAGTGGGTGCTTAAATTTGTACAGATTTACAGGTGATGTGTATATTGACAGATGTAATGATAGAATCTCAACATTGCATTGTCGAAGCTTCTACAGATTCGCGGAGCTCAGTCAGATTGAAGGCCCCTTGTCGCGAGGCAACGAATACCGATATGTAAAGAATACGAAGGTAGCTGTGTGTGATATAATGCGGACTCAAGAGACAGAGCCTTTTTTTTGAGCCGATGGATTTGAGAGCCTTGACCTTTATGTGAAAATGTATATATAATTGTCCTTGTGGACGGAAGAGAAAAATAAAGATGAGAGTGGAAGCTCCGTCTGGAATGCAAAGTTGTTTCTTAAACTCCCACCCTCTGAATCTTTTCAGGAGAACTTGTACTTGTTCCAATCAAATTTAGATTTGGTCGTGAGATGTGTATATACATGAAAGATACTCTGGTGGTTTTCAACTTGAAGTTGTTGGGATTAGAGAATACTGTATTCCACACATCTCTTTTTGTCTCTTGATGGGGTTTTTCTCATCCGCCGCTCCGCTACTGATTTTTTCAGGTGAATATTGAGATGTGAGCCACAGCCAAACCTGAATCGCTGAAGAGTTGTCTGTCAGAGATGCTCTTGTTGCATCAGGTTGAAAAGAAGGACCTGTGAGTGGTCGTCGGCATTTTTCTGCCGGTCTAACTGGTTCAGTAGCACACCCGTTATTAGCACTGAGGACAGCGTTGTAGCGATCACTATCTTCTAGATACAGATAATCGAAATTGTTGATTTGACGGATCGAGCGTGCACATATTTCAAATGTTGGAAATTGAGTATGCCAAGGCTATAGAACCAAATGTTGGCCTTTACTGAAAATCCATCGTTCAGCCCAATAATGAAGCATGGCATGCAGGAAGACAGTTCACTTCTACCCCATGTACCACATGTTCTTCCGTGTACATTCTTTCAATAGTTTTGGGTCAATACGATGTGATTTACGAGGAAGGAGCTTTTTGAAATAGAGATCGGAGAAGAGGATGGCATTAAACTGGTATCAAATTTAATGAGTGCCGTGGTTTGAGTGGAATCATAAGGTGTCGCATCCTTGAGATCAAGAGCCGTGACCATCTCTTATCCCAAAACCAATAGTAGGTCGCAATAGTTCTATTCTTATTCTTATAATCGTATGATTCATTGAATATTCATGAATAACATTATTAATGAATATACTAAAATCCATTCACTAGCATATAGTAACTTGAACATCAGACCTTGTGAATCTATTCATATCTTTCTTCAACTGCATCAACAGATTTATTCTCTCTCCGTATGAAATTTTCATCGATACGCCTTCATGGTCTTCACAAATGTTTAGGTTCAAATCTCTTTCCACAGTGGTGCAAGTTGTTGTCTAATCAAATACCAGGTCCATTCATGCATCCTATATCCTTTTTAGTATGAGAAAACAAATTACATATCTAAGAGCTTCTATTATTGTTTCTTCTTAATAATTTCTACGCCTGAAGTATTTGTGTTTTTACCAGGATACGAGTCTCACTCAGTTCGCCAAAGCTCCTTTCTGAAGAAATGAAGCATCTGGTTGTTTAAAGACGAGGTTATTATAATCAACCAAATAGATAACAAACTCTTACGCAGAACGATCTTTTTGCTATCTCATATCAAGCTCCATACGTTAATAATGATACATAGCAGCAGTTCGGGCTATGACCTCATGAGGCCCATGGAAATTTTGCGGTTTACAAACTCACGCACAAAGATGAAGTGATAGGGAAACATACTAAATGGTCAAAGTAGAGTTGTTGCTCGGTGTTTCAGCACCTAGCTTTATCCGCAATACACATGATGGTAGATTTGAGTGGTAATGTAAGTATATATAAATTGTAACTAAATTTAATTTTATCATGATTAGATTCAACTTCTTATGGTTTAACATAGTTAGAAAATGATTAACTCTCAAGAAAATTTGAAGACAATTATCGCATTGATGACACATGTTAACAATAAACTTTAATTAAATTTGGAGTTCACGAGTGATGGAGTGAGAGTTGAGAATGAAAAGTTTGTAAGAGAGTGATCTGAAATTATTAAGATAGTTGCGAAGAAACATCTCATTTAAGATTCAAGAATAATTACCTGAAAACCATCGAAGATACATATTGTAGTCCTATGCTAATATCGAAGTTCATAGTACTACGCTCGTAGATCATCATAAATGAGCTGTCTCAGAAGTATCATATGCTTGCACTTAACTCCTAAATTGTGTGGCTCGTAGAGACTACTCGAGCTAAGTAAGTAGAATGATCCTTTGCACAAAAATCTCCCAACTATAGTTGACATCTCCCATCTTAGACACACGCCTCGAGTATAAAACGATACCATCTTGGAAAAAGAAACAAAAACCAGGCTAGCTTCTTTCATGAAAGTACACACTAATCTATGAATCTAATCAAACACTTCATGACGAGGCTAAAGTGAATCCCGCTAGCCATTGAATATGAATAATTATTGACATATGAACTAGACTGAATGTAAAACAAATCAAGATTGGGATGCTGTATGAGCAACATACAACATACATACCAACAATGGATGCGTATGAGCAGCAGACAGTAGAATTCTGCCTTAGTTAGGAGTGGGCGCGATTGCCAAACCATTTGCTCATATAACAAGTTGGCACGTCGACGGCCTCAAAACTAGCACCGAAAGCTCAAACTTCCTTCCGCCTGTCAGGACGGAAGGAAGGCCTGGGGTCGATTAAACAGTTGGCACTGAAAGAGACTCAATGGCATGACTGGTGAATGCTCTTTAGTGCTCGAATGCACATCGGTGCTCGAGTGCGACGTGTGAAGCGTGGTCAAATCTGCTCAGTCGCTATCTCGTCTCATGGAGTTCACGTTCACCCGAAGTGAGGTTCACATGAAGGCACAGAAGTCAAGCGGACAATAAATGTTTCAACATTTAGACTGTCAGAACACTGTAGCTGCAGTGAAAGTAACTTTGCATGTCAGTTTGGTACAAGAAGTTCACATCATTCCGGTTGCTTGATAAGGTTTACCCGGGTGCCGGACAGTGACCGAGTTCAGTCAAAGGAAGATCTGCTCAGATCGCTACCTTTTCTCTCGCAATCATTTGCCCCCCATCCTGCAGCTACTCCTTTTCCTGCGCTGCTTCAATTGCATTAGCTTGTCCCATGTACCATTCTGCCACTGGAATGTTCTCAAACGATTTTTAGCCAAAAGAGTTTCCTGTGGAGAGTGAAGCATGCTTACTGGAAGATATGTAATTAGTTCGAAACCTAGCTCACAACTTATTTGATCATTCAGGGAACATGATGAGGCTCATGTCTTGGAGTGACTGCCTACTTTAGGAATATACTCGTAGATTTGTCGATTATCCTCATCTACGCAGGATTTTTCTCCGTCTTCTTATCTTTCAGATTTTCCTGGGGTGAGATGAGTTTGATAGGATAGGCCGTTAGATAAAGACAACTCGCTATCGTCTGTTATGATCACGGTGAGACTGGTCTTCGCCAGGTCCCACAGCAGATATTCGACAATGGTCGTCGAGGGGCTTAGGCTTAGTATGATCAGTCAGCTATGCTCGCTTATCGTTCTCTGTCCTTTCTTGCGAGAGTCTTCCCATTTGATGTTTAGGGAGTTATAGAACGCTTTCACCACTAGCTTATCACATTTTGCAAATTTAAATCGAAAAACGCTACGACTTCATAACAGATAAGTGAATACTAATGTTCAGTCTTAGGCACAGTCTGGATGCCTATGAGCAGCCAGTCACTCAACTAAGAAGACAGCTAACACCTTTTCATTCTTCCTTTCCTTGTCTTTCTACGCTTACATCTCACTATGGATTGATGTGCGAGAGAACAACGTCCTAAGATCTAGCAGGTAAGAGCTTTTAACAGGGAGTGTGTTTTTAGCTACTGCTCACGGCCTAGCAATCTTCAAGGAACAATCTACGCAGACTTCTACATCCTTTTTCCGTGTCTTCCACATATTTTTGACCTCTCGTTGAGTAGTCCAAGATAGGGACTTTCTCATCTGGATAGGGTGTTACACAGGAAACACCAGTCTTGGGATAAACAGGCTCACCGCTACGAAACACGAACCAGAAGTTTTGCCAGCGTTGTGATAGGTCGTTGTATCCAAAAAGAATCTGGTAGGATAGAAATGAACCGTATCTTGAAGAAAATTTATTACGACTTCTGGCGGCTGTGAGCATTACATTGAAGTTGGAGCAGCTAATTGCGATAAAAATACATATCAACGACGTAATGCATAAACATTCGGGTCTCTGCAGGTGGCTTCTTTCTGAGTCTCTTTGGTTACGGAGGGTAAGCCATAAACTTCTCTGACAGTCACTCACTCTCTCTCTTTCTCTCTTCGAGCTTTCTCGAAAAATTACTACAGCGCGCATCCATCATTCTACTCTAAGAAACCTCCCGAGAAGGATCGTTGGATTCTATTAAACAAAAGGTTTCTTGGTGGCTGCTACCAGAAATGTCTTCGAGTTAAAGGTCAGGGCAGAAATCCCGTGGCAGAGAAGTGGATTTAAAAATTACAAGTGACGCTCTGGTTCAGTTCAACTGGGAGAAAAAGCATCTTAAGCTTGGATTTCTACGTCGTCCAAGACGGCAACACCGGGCAGAACCTTGCCCTCCAGAAGCTCAAGACTGGCACCACCTCCTGTTGAGACGTGGCTCATCTTCTCAGCCAAACCTGCCTTCTCTACGGCAGCAACGGAGTCACCTCCTCCAATGATGGTGATGGCACCCTCGCCTGTAAGATCGGCAATGGTGTTCGCGACAGCGAAAGTTCCATTGGCAAAGGCGTCGAACTCGAACACTCCCATAGGTCCGTTCCACAAAACGGTCTGGATTGTTCAAAATACGTTACACCATCATCAATATCTGAGTGTTCAGCAAAAACAAATCTTCGGACAGCAAAAAAATGTCACGACACCCTCAAATGTACGTGCAGTAGATAAGAACAGAGATCAACGATCAGTACCTTAGCTCCCTTCAAGGCGTCCTTGAATTGCTCAATGGATTTAGGACCAATATCCAATCCCATCCAGCCTGCATTTCAGTTCGTACACATGTTTAGCCAGCTTCAGCAAGAGAATATTTTAGTCTACAAACGAGATCGGTGAGTGTCGGATGAGGACCAACCAGCCATCATATCAAACATCCAGAATTTGCAGAGGTGAAAAACGTAAACTCTGTCTACGAAGGCTCTTCAAGTTTTAGACTGTTGATCGAGGAGCATACATGGGATCCTGAGCTTCCACTTACCATCGGGAATTTCCTTGAAGTCACAGACTTGTGTGTTGGCATCTGGGGCAAACTTGTCCGCAGCAAGAATGTCAATTGGCAGAATGAGCTCGACACCCTTTTCCTTGGCCATGGCGCTCAACTTGACTGCGAGGTCAAGCTTGTCGTCCTCTACGAGGGAGGAGCCGACTGAGTAGCCCTGGGACTTGTAGAAGGTAAACACCATTCCTCCTCCAAGGATAACCTTGTCAGACTTGTCCAAGAGGGACTCAATAACGGTGATCTTGGAAGACACCTTGCTCCCACCGACCTGTTTGAAAAGCATTCACAATTATGATGAGCTACCACGTATCGACAGCCAGTGTAGCGGCATACAAGGAGCATGTTTTCTTTTCGGCTTGTAAAAATGCAACTGGCGGTGGGAAATTATCAACAATGGAGAGAATCAACACTCACAATGGCGACGAAAGGCCTAGCGGGCTTTTGGATGGCTCCTGCCAGGTAGTCCAATTCCTTCTGGAGAAGGAATCCAGCGAACCTCTTTGAAACGAAGTCAGCAATACCAGCTGTAGAAGAGTGAGCTCTGTGAGCGGTACCGAAGGCATCGTTGACAAAGAAATCAATGTTCTTGGCAAGCTTCTTGGAGAACTCAAGGTCGTTCTTCTCCTCTTCCTTGTAGAATCGAACGTTCTCGAGAAGGAGAAGCTCTCCATTCTGCCAAGTTCAAATAGAAACTTTAGCACATAACGCACAATGGCGAAAACATACATGGATCTTCCAACCAACCTTGACATATTATCACTCAATTGCTGCCGAACAGAATATACATGGCTTTCGATCAGGCCCCGACTTCAGTGTAGAAGACATAAAAACTCGGGCAGTAAAACACACCTTGAGTCCACCGATAAGACCCTCGACTTCCGGGCCGATAGAGTCGGGGGCGAACTTCACTTCCTTCTTCAATAAATCGGCAAGGCGAACTGTTTAGACGTTCAAAAAACTGATCAGCTACGGCCGTTCACTTCCAACTCCCCTGTGCGCAAATGAGTATGTGCATCTGAGCGAGAAGCCAAAATCCTTCTGACATGCATGCAAGGGTCCTCGAGTTTTTTGGGATTTCGTTCGATGGATCACATCCCATAGTCTACATTATATAGCTTTCAATCTTCCACCGACGCATGGAATTCGTTAAATTCAACACAATGCGATCTTTAAAAAGTGCATCGGCATGAAGCTCGACATTTGCGCACGGTCTTCGCAATTACCTGAGACGGGCTTCAGGCTGAACTTCTCCTCGGGTCCCTTCTTCGGGCGACCAAGGTGAGAGGCGAGGACGACCTTGGCACCGCAGCCCAACAGGTACTCAATGGTGGGCACGGAGGCACGGATACGGGTGTCATCCGTGATGTTCCTCTTGTCATCGAGAGGTACGTTCAAATCCGCACGGATGAACACGGTCCTGCCCTCGAAGTCGCTCTTCGGGACATCGCCGATCGAGACCTTCCTGTCGGAGGACTTGGAGGCGAGGCTCTCGCCGTCGCCCTTGCCGCCCTCACCCTGCAGAGCAGAGGGGCTCAAGGTCTCTGTCTTGGGGGCCTCGGCGAAGACGGTGAACAAATTCTGCTTCCTCACGGATCGCGAGCTCGACGAGACTCCGGCGTGGAAGAACAACGGAGACGCCCGCAGGCTGAACCTGACACCGGAGGCCCTCAATCCCGACTGCAAGTTCGACTCTGTGCCTGCGGCTCTGACCACGCTTTTCACTGAAGAAACAGCGATTGCCTGCACAGCTGACGCCATAGCTCCAAGAGACAGGAAATCTTCCTCCCGGCTGAAGCTTCTGCGATTCTTTAAATCCAAAAAACAGCCGCAGGAATTTCTGCCTCGCCCGCTCTGCCGAAGACTTCACCACCAACCTCTTCTGGTGGAAGATTACTTAAAGAACATCGATCGCGCGAGGGATCGATCGATCGCGAGGGAGGGAGTGGTGCAGCAGCGGGGATCGATTCCACACGGGACGGACGATGGCGCCTTGCGGGCTCGTCCTGTAGTGGTCGCCACCCTATCGCCACCCATCGCCAGGGTTACGCCATCCGTGGCGCGGGCAGATTGGGGGTTTCGCCAGTTTCGCCCGGCGGGGCCGGGTTATCTGCATCCGCTTTTCGATGACCTGTGGCCGAGTGTTGCCCGGGAGATGGAGGGGGTGGGCAACGGGAATCGCCAGCTAGGCCAGCGGAGCGCCACATGTTGCGCCGTGACCAATCAGCAGCGGGGCGCGCATAGTGATAAGAGCCCCGGATGCCACTTCGTGCTGCCGCGTGTCACATTGCTGACCGTGCCCTGCGGGCAGTGAAGCTCCCTCTCCTCGTCTTCTGGATATAGTGCGCGCTCGCAAGTTGGGGACATGCTCATGTCAAGCTCGCTAGTTCCGCTGGCGACAGACGGACAGTGCTCCGTCTCGGCTCACTCTGTCCCGTTCTGTCCCGTTCTGTTCCGCTGTTCCGCTGTTCCGCGCTCTGTCTTTGGCTCTCCGTGCTCCTCCGGGACCTCCTCCATCCCCTCGAACCTCGCCACGCCATTCCCTTTGCCTTCCCTTGCTCCCTTCCTCTAGTTGCCGTCTCCTGTCCGGTCAGCAACGCCACGCAACTCCCCAACAAACGACTGCCCCACCAAAATCCCGTCCAACTAACCACTAAACCACTTCTTAACGTGTACGGCATTTTTCCACCTCTGCTTCTGATTTCTATTTTAGAGAAGCAATAATCTAATAAAACAAAATGTACTCAACCGAAAACCAGGGGCTAGCACAAATAATATCGAGTGGTAAATATGGAATTTAGTTCCTGACATATTCTAAATTAATATTCCTTAAATGCTCTTGTCACTTGCTTATTTTCTCATCTCACCCTTGATCTCTGAACATATTCTTTCCCAGATCTGTGTTCTGTTACTTCTTTCGCGTGTTTATTCATTTTCTGCCGGAACATGCTCGTAAGTGGTAATAACACCTGAATTTCCAACAGTCAAGAAATCGTCGGGTGGGCAGCGTAAGCCCTTGCCCGGAAAAAACAGATAACTATGATTGTTGCTCTTTTGTTCTCTACACTATACTTGGTAATGGCATGGGACAAGGTTACTGTAATGTAGTTCTTCTTGAATCCATCTTTGGATCTTTCTCATCGCTAGAAGGTCGACAATTATTACTGTGTAGCGGCGAGATCGAGTATGCATCTCATATCTAAGACATTATTATTGACCATTACTCGTGATTTAAAATTGTAAGTTAAGTTGATTTTGATTGAGTGAAGAGTTCTATCTGACTCCAAGTTGTGAAATAAACCCCCCTGTGTGCGTACAAAGTGAATGGTGACATGCCATGTTTTTCCTGTGAACCGACTCGAATCTGTGAACACATGTCTCAGTTCTTCAAGCAAGATTCTTCCAATTTATCAGAACGTAACATCCGTCGTTCACAATAGTTTACTATGTTTTAGTGTTTCCAATTGAGATTCGTAAAAAATCTGATACTTATCTGCTTTGAAGTCATATTGTTACAATTGCTATTCATTTCCTACATATATTGCATGATAGTTTTGCAAAAGATCTTACAATTCACGTATATATTAGTTCTGATAAATATACATGTTAGAAGCACAATATGGAGCTATAAGTTTTTTATATCACTGTACTATAAGAGCAATTTTGCTATAGAAACAAAATGCATGTTAGTAAGATTAACTGTACATTGTGAACAAATGAACGATCCAGAAGCCAAGTAAGACAGTAAGAACCTCGATATATATAAGAATAAATTATCAGAAAATTCTTTCATTAGTCATTAGAAATTTGAGAGTCTGATACATATGTGCAATTTGTTGTCATTTCATTCTTAATGCAATTTAATTGCAGTCTAATGATATATTCCTCATTGCTTTAAGTTCTAGAAAAGAACGATCTACATTATTATAGCAATCATCATTCTCATCGATCTCTCATGATCTGTGATTTACCAAATCTATATGCTTGAAGTTATACGACATAGCAGATATTTGATCATGTTCATGATACATCCGTCCTTGTGAATTGCTTGAAAATCAAGATAAGCATGCTTTCATGTTTGATATACATCTTTGAAAAAAATCGTATGCTAGTATGTTAAATTGTGTTTCATGCAAGATTTGTAATCATCAATAATGAAATAAGTTTCAAATCTATTCCAAAATATAAATTTGTCACCATATATGTATGGCTCCAAATTTATTACTAGAATTTTCATCAAGGATGATTTACGAATCATTTATATTTGATTTCTATATGAATATGAATTTTAAATTTCAAAATTTTTGATTATATGAATGTCCGTATTGTATGAATATTTATTCTATGATTTTTCATATTTTGAATGCCATTAAGTTTTTATAATGGATACAAATAATATTTTAGTTATAAACCATTGAAATGTCTAATTGCGTGAATTTATACATGTATTGTAATGTATTTTAATATCAATACCATATTCTATATACATCACAAAAGTAATAATTTGCGTGTGTAATCAGACATCAAGGAATCATCAATCAAAATTAATTCCAATTGCAAAAATTTTGCAGATTCATCTAAATACAATCTGATCTGCATTTATATTTAGATACTTTTAAAATTAAAATCTTTGACATTTTTTCAAGTTCATTTTTTTTATTCTACAAATATTATATCATGTTATTTTCTTAAATTAATACTATTTTACATAATTTACGTAAATATAATTATATTTTTATTAATTCAACATCTTATTTATTATGTATCAAAATTTTATGATTTTTTTTCATAGTTTATTTTTATGCATGATAATTGTCAATAAGTGATAATTTGATAAAATATTCTCATAACTTCTAATGAAGCTAATTGATATTGGCGCATAATTTACATCTTATAAAAATGTCAACATAGTACAAAATAGTCAATTGAATGCATCATTAGTCACTTTTCAATAGATTTGAAAATCAATGTAAAATAATGTAAAAATTTATATGGAGCAAAGAATCACACTTTTCAAGGCAAATAAGAATCATTTATTTCTCTACAACTTTAATAATCATATGTGAGTGTGATACTTTTGAAAGATCCAAATATATTATTTATTGCCCATTTGAAATATAAAAGATACAATTTCATTACGTTATTATAAATATTCTTTTTGTAAAACTTTAAAAGTAGATTTTCGCCATGTGGTTAAATCTCATTAAAATATAATTTCAGATGGTTTATAGAAAAAATTACCTTTGTATTTACAAAATTTACAAGGCTAAAAAAACATAGACATTAGCTTTTTGTTGTTGTAACATTGAAATAGTAAGAAGATTTAAATGTTGATTCAAACACATTTGTCAGATAATGTTCAACTTCTTCATCATGCAGCATATTCTATTCAACTTGTATCCATTGCTGTATAGACAACACTTGCCTTTTGAAGTTGAGTATATATAATACTATATATAATATAGGTATATTATACCCTATATCTCACTATGATGTTATAGAATCTATTCCATTATTAATTTCTTGGTTTCATCCATGTACAAATTGCTGGGTTCTTACTCTCATATTTACTCTTTTAGTTGAACGTGAATGCTTGAGAATAGTAGAAGTGTTGTCCTGTCATCTTCTTCATACATAAGAGTACTCAATATTAACGAAAAGTATGAGAAAGTCATATAATAAGGAATCCAACGGTTTAAGACTAGATCCAAATAATATCACGATGGCAATAAATTCTACCACATCTAACCATCCAAAAATTGGATTCAAAGTTAAAAAAAACACCACACACATTGATTGATATTTTCTAGATTGCATAAAGTAGTGTTCTCCCATATTCTTCATGTATCAGTACCTTGCCTGTAACATGATTCTTTGTTTTTGTTGATGTTCGTCCCCTTTCCCTGTCAGATTATTTTGACACCTGGCACCACCATCCCGAACATGCTCTTTTTTCTTGTCCTCAGATGTGATATGCGTTGCAATGGATACAAACAAGTCTAAGGAAGAGAACAAGGAGGTTTTACAACGGGCCTCTCTCTGACCGAGTGAGCAGCAAAGTACACTTCCAACCACGTGACGGTCAAGTTACTTAAACATAGTTCACTGCGGGAAGTGATTGCTCCACACTATTCTTATGCCTTCCATCGCCCAAGCAAAGAGTTGGGTTCAGATTGAGGTATTTCTTGTCGCCAGCGCAGGACAAGGAGCGAGCGCTTTGTAATTAATCTTTGCTTCTTACAACACGGACAAAGTGTTTGTGGATAGAAAGTGGCGTGATTAGACATTGTGGGAGCCGATCTCTCCCGTATGCAATTGTCGCAAATGACCTTCTGGACTGTAAGCTGATAAAAAAGGTTCAGCAAATCATATTGTATCTTGTAAAGTGACCATCGCAGACAAAATTTAATCCACTGGTTGCTTGATCATCATATGACAAAGTTCAATATGTGAAATCTTTTGCACACCTCTCATGGCTTCCTTTCCTTGGTTGGACCTTCTATATCGCACTTTTTCAGTCATAAACGTTTTAACCTACAGAAAATCCATTGCAAAGGAAGCCATATGACACACTTCGAATTTGTTACTCTTTAAAAACCCATACACCCCACAAAATATAGTTCCTGACATTTTGAGTAATGGTAACGTGGAGCCATAGCCGAACCCGAATGACATATGCAAAGTGTTTCGACTGGTGTCGTTTGAGTGAGACATTGCTCTTGATTTCTCTCTTCTGGCACGGGTACTCTACCATGGGCGAAACAGGGAAATACTCGAGTCGAGTTGCAACCCATTCTGTAATGGGACACAACAATCTTGAAGATTGACAGATATACAGCATATGTTCTCGATCAAGGTTTTACAAGAACTGGTCTGCATTAGCATTAGCGTGTTTCAAAACAACTCCGTCACCATGAATGGTACCAATCCATAATGCCATCGTCTATTCATGAAAATAAAGCATTTTTCGGCACACTATATAGAATGATAATATAAAAACAGGGATTTTTTATGATTGAGTAATCTTCGGGACCTGGTTTGAGTCTTACTTAGAAAGCTAAACTTACTTTGAAACTCACAAGAATTTAAATTCTTAGAGTTGCACTATATGCGTAAAATCAATGGGGCAACTTATATGGATCCCGTAAAACCATTCCCGTTTATCCATATATCTGTTCAATATCTTAAGCAACTCTGATCTTTCCGGTCTTGCTTTAAAGCTCCCGTTGTCGCAGAATGAATTGTACCCGTTGCCTAGACTCGCCTACATCAACTCAGCCTTCGTGGATATTCCAGACGAGCCAATGACTTGACGAGTTGTAAACTGTTTCAGTGAACGTAATCTTAGCGGAAGACAGTTGGCAAATAATATCTCCCACCCAGGAAAAAACTGAAGAGAAACAAATTAAAGAGCTTTTCTTGAACTCAAATCTTGCAGATAAACAAGAAGTATCATGAACTGCAGTAATTTATGTAACATTGTCTTTATTGAGCTCATTGATCGCCTAGTATTCCATACTTATTGAAAACTTGAAATTCATTAACTTCTATTCACTTCTAACTCCTAATCCTTTTCTACTTAAGTTTTGTTTCATTAACATTCAATGCAGTCATTGGAGATGTGCGTGCGTATCTGAGAGACTTTATACTTACTTGCACGGCAACGATGTGAGCAAATACAAGGGGAATGTGCATCGAACATCACTATATCAAGGCCAAACATGAAGAATTTATAAGGGAGTTTTGCGGGAAAGGGGGAGGAAGAAATAAATGAAGACGAAGAGAGCATACCGGGAAGTGTACTTGGAGGCCGCAATTTTAATCGATAGATGGACTTCTTGGGATACCTGCCATATGCTTGGACTAGGTTATTATTCTTGGAATCTGAAATAAGGCTGCAAGTATGTGACGAATGACTTTTCTTTAGTTGCCTCACTACCCTGATTGTTCGCATGCGAGTTTGTGACCAGATTAGGAGAAAAGATGAAACTGAAGGGTTGGACGGGCTAGATTCGATCCTGAAGGAGGCAAGCAATCACGAATATACGGTGCAATTCTGATATCAGTGCTGACAGCTCCATAGACAGCTTCGGTTTGGCTCCTGTGCTTTTGAGATTATATACACGGCCGACTGGTGGAAGGGCCGACATTATACGAAGCTCAATTCGATCAAAACAAATTAAGGTCTACATGACCCGACAAAAGATTGAGCAACCGACATAGACAGACGCATGGTTGCACAATCGTCCAACCATGATATTCTTTAAGAAATGCTTCACTTCCTCGACTGAACGTGATATACAGCATTACATGTATTCAAGGTCTGCAGTTTTCTTGCATGAAACACTTGGGGACTCGATATTGGGACTAACATGATTTCTTGTTATGATAAAGAAATTCAAGGTCCAATTATCGCCCGAGACTCAACTAATTGGGGTCTTGCGTCGTGATTTTGATTTACACGAGCGCGCTCAAGCCACACTCAACGGACAACAGACCACCCTTGAACGCAGAGGTTCATCAAATTCTCAGTTGCTTCTGTAGCTATCAGAACCAATGTCTAACTCTCTAACTTGATGGATGTGAAGTGCCATAGATGAAACTGCAAATGTATTCACAGATGGTTCCAATGATTCTTTAGTTTACAATCCTACGCCAAGAAGACAACTGAGCTGCCTGAGTTCCAGAAAGAGTTCCATTGGAGCTGTAGTTGGGAGGTTTGACTCCCTCTTGCTTGCGAAAATGAGGCGCTACTCGGTGGAGAAGGGCCCTGACCTTGTTAACAAGCCGTGCAAATGCATGCCACACTATTTCCTATTTCCTAGAGGTCTGCTCAATGTCCTTCTAAGTATGCCTAAGATAAGAAGAGGCTGGGCAAGCTTCACAGAAGCACAATCAAAGAACTTTCAAAGGATCTCCACTTGGGTGATAACTCATTCAATCAGCCTCAACAAGCTGCCAGACCTGCAACCATCTTAAACAGAAAGCAGATCAGAACCCATATAACATGCCCTCTGAGTGTAAACGTGAGACAGCCCAAGTTCGATCTCAAAATATGCTAAGACACATATTGATGAGGATTTACAAGTCCATGAAAATATCCAATGGGTAGTAAAATTGAAATGAGCTCGCGATGACCCATATGAGGACACGTCGGAAGTCTCATAAAAGTGAGAAGATGAGCAAAAGAACCCCCATGACGTTCTTAGGTCTGAACCAAAGGAAATGATATCATTCACTGAGCGGGAGGACTAAGAAGAACATGCCGGTGAAACACGATATCAGAGGAAACACAACGTGGCTACTGAGCAGGCCTCAGTAGGTTTTAGTGTGCTTCTGACATCCGACTGGGGGACTTCTCTTGAAGTTCAGCGAGTCAATTGTTCCCTGAAAATGTCTAGCTTGATTTAGCTGGTTAGCACTATGAAAAATCAAAAGGTAATGAAACTAAGATGTGCAACAGAAGACAAACCGATGATTTCCACCTTCCCAAACTTTCATGTATTGAAGTAAGAACCAGCCTATGCCTTTCTGTACAGACTTCGATACATGGCATGATATCCATGGTCGTCCTATCCTTTCACCAACACCATCCAACTCATAACATTTTGTGCAAGGTGAATCTCACCTCCAGACCAGCTCTGCTACCACGCTAGCACAGCTCTGTTCTCCACAGAAACTATTTGGTTAACCCTGCTAAGCACACGCCGGATGAACCTAATGACCATTAGCCATGAAGATCGATCTGCCAGGCTTTAAATACCAGTAGCCCTTCAATCCAAGTCCATCCACGTTTTGAGGACGAAAGAAGATTGTGTCATCCATGTAATGATGGACGCAAGTCAGGGCATTAAAATTGGCCGACGTTCTCTAGTTGACATGCTTTCATGACCCATTAGCAGACACACCTAGAGACCTTAAAAAGAAGCTAGTCTAGTATTTCCTTGGATGTCAATTGGCTTCCAAAAGGGTCTTCATTCTCTGCAATCCACAAATGACATCCATAGAGTCTACATTGATTATCTATATGTAATTACTTCTGTCAACATACACAAAATCTACTGAGCTTAAAAAATGTCTGAAGTATCGAGAGAGGTTTCTTACAGCTGACTCAATCTGATCACAGTCTCAGCACTGATCTGATACTGGAGTCTTGGACATGGTAGTTCAATAGGCCAAGCTTGATAGAGAGTCCAAGTAGCAGCTCTTAATTCCAGGGCTGGTCCAAGTCCACACGTCTTTCTATTCCTATACAGGTAAAGCAGTCCCAGCCCGAAATTCATACAGCTTTCCTAGTATCAACAACATGATATGAATGATGATGCCTTTGATTCCTTTCAGCCTGACAAAGCTGGAAAACAGAATATCAAAACTGTCAAGAAAAACACTCTTACTCACATTGAGGCTCATTAAGATATCGAATGGTAGAAGGGCACGTCAAGGCAGTGCACAAATTAAGACCCTGCAGAAAGCCAGACCTAATTTCAGAATACATCGCCAAGACGGTTACGTTGAAGGTGTACGTCACTAGATTAGAAACTCCAAACTTACACCACTGACTGTAATGACCATCAATTTCGTACCAAACTCACCCTCGCAGTCATAGTCGACTTCTTCGGTTTTCCAGCGTAGCGATGACCAGTTATTTTCATCCAATCATCGTGTATTTCTTTCTTGGATAGAACGACCTGCAATTTTGGTAGCTTCAAGGGTGGAGGAGGAGGCTCTTCATTAGCTAATCTTTGAGCAACTCGCTTGGACCTTTTGGTGCCTTTCCCCGGAGGAACTGGAACTGCAGGTGGGGGCGGTGGAGTCTCACTACCACGATTCCTGTCGAGGATCAAGGTTCGTCATAAGCATCCAAAAATCTACTCTGCTTATGTTTCTTACGAAAGTGGCAAAAACCCTAAAGTTTTCTTCCATAGGGTTTTGCTTCTAGTGTTTCAGTTTCCTGACAACACACCGTATGTTTGATATTTGCTTACGTTAGATCAGTCTGACTTTACAGCAAACATGTCGAGCATCGTACTGTTAATTTAACAAGCTGAAGGTTTAAACGGACTGGATGATGCTGTACCTCGTCAATGACCTCAAAACCCTCTCCATGTCCTTTTCTTCCTTTGGAGGAGTGTAAGACCTGGCTAGAGTTCGACGTTGTCTTCGTCTGATTGGTTGGTTCAAATTTGAATCCTGCTCCTGTTGTGATGTTTGCACGTTATCTTCTTCCGGAGATGACTGAGATTGACGCTTGATCTGATTGTCTTGAGAAGTTTTTTGGGGCTGCTTACACCTTCGTATTCTTCCCCCTTCTCCATCCGCAGGGGTAGAATATTTCTCATCGTTTTGCGAACAGAGCATTTTTGTCTGGTCAACTTCGTGTTCCTTGCGATTCTTCTTAATTTCAGATCTCTGCTTTTGATGTTGTTGTTTTTTCAACTTAGTTCTTGGAGTAGCTCCATTGGCGTCACCTAAATTCGAATCTGCAGTACGTTCTTCTCCATCTACTTCTCTGTCGTCAGAGCATTCTTCGTTGGGGATCTTGTCATCCTCCTCATCGCTGCATTGACTTGCAAAAAGTAAGGTTAGAAATTCCCTAGTCCAGACGCACCAGACACTTTATCGGACTTTAAGTTGTTGCCATATACGACAGTCTATGATGAAATTCAGATCAATGAACCCTATCTAGGTACCAGGGAAAACGAAAAAAAAAACTAACTACCGTTACGACCTACAATGCAGGCTCTGCAACATTCCTGCACTGATGAATCATACTTGAATAAACAGAAGACCCGGTTCCTCTGTGAGGCCTGAACTTGACACAGTGCAAATTCCAAGTTGTTGAGCAACGTACTTCTTCAAAGTGAATTTCTTCATAACGTTGGATTCCATGTTGTCAACCTCCTCATGTCGTTTACGTCCACCGTAGATAGCTCGGGAACTACGACCACCAAGAGTGAAATAACAGGACACGGTCAGAACAAGTCTTACCACCATCACGGATGGGCGTGAACGTACCACGTTCTACTAGCTAACTATTCTAGGACTTTGGGCAAGCAACAGTAGGTAGTACCTACTAAGTTCACGTTGCCACTCCATAAATTTCTCGCTCCTGACCACAGCTCTCCGCATTCCTGTCGACTGGGTGTCGAACATCGAAATCCAATCGTACTCCACCCCATGAGAACAGACAGAAACGAACTCCGTGCTTTTGACTAAGCACAAACCCCACTCACACACAGAAAATCTAATCCAGACTTTCCCAACGGGTATCTTAAAGATTTTCATCAAGACCGGGAATGACTGCCGATTCAAGACAGGGCAAGAGGGAAAGATAGCGCATCAAGATTCTGCGATTCCAATGCAATACGCTTCTGTCTGTACACACCTCTAATCCTGCTACAGCCATGCCAGGATTTCTTCCGAGCCTGCGGATGGGGATCCAGCCCCAGTACCAAGCTTAGGCAATGAAACCGTTTGTCGATCGACAATATCAAATACTATGCCACTCAAAACCTGTAGCCAAAGAGTTCACCACACGAGACCGTCACATCCGGAGTCAATGGTCCATCCCGACCCTTAAGCTATTCCAGTACCGCACTGCAACAACTCTGCAGTGCAGGTACATTCCCCTCACATGTGCTTGGTGAAATGGATCCCGTCGGCAACATGTTCCTACACTTTTCGGACAGTGGAAAAGAAAACCCCTGAGTAGCAAGGGACAACAGAGCAATCCATGCAATGAGCCAGGAGGCTTACAGAGGCTTATGAGCCCACTCTGCAAAAGGTTTCGATGTCTGATATGAAAACTAAAGTTTAAAAGACGACCCCACGTCACCCATCTTGACCAAACCCATACGGGTATTAAGTTAACGTCGCATTCGAGCTAACCCAGTTTTCATGGATTCTGGACTCGCGAAAGTTGAATGCATGGAGCCCATCAATCTTCGGCCTGGGCTTTCTACCATTACTGCAGTGAGTTGAAGCGCGCGTAACAGAAAGGGAGAGGGACCGCCACCCATTGCGATAATTGCACGAAAAGGAAAAGAGAAAAGAAAACACAAGAGAGTGTGTGTGACAAAGATTGTATACCTGAGGCCAACAGACACTAGGCATTCGAATCTGCTTCTGCTTCCAATTGTGAAGAATGATCATTCCCCACAAAATGTAGATACTGACCGATGAAGACTCAGGATTTTCCAAGGGGCCGTGGTCCGATGATAACCACACTGTCGACAACACGACTTCAAAGCTTCAAGTAACAAGACTACTTCCACCGGCACTCGTTGTAAAATCATGTCAGCCCGAATTCATGCCAATCAGTCGCCCATGGCCCCCCATGCACTCGCTGACCAAAGAAATCAGAGTCCCCTCCCACTTCCCGTTCCCGTCTTCCCCTGCACCGCCGAAGGATAACTCGCAATGAACAGGCGAACTCGTAAATCTCTTTCTTTCTCTCTCCTTCGTATCTAGTCACTCACCACTCACACGAAAGCAAGCGACGTGGCCGGGAAGATGGTGAGCAGAGGAGAAAAATGCTCAAAGACAAAAGCCAACAGGCTCGACAACAGAACAAAGTGCCTGCCCTCTCCCTCACTATCCTGCACTACAACGAAAGAGCGTACTTTTTGCTCTGTTCCCAGTAAGAACTAGTTGTAGTAGTATCCCGACGTTTCCGAGCTGTGGCGTGAAAGCGTGTGTAGTTCGCTGCTCTCCCCCTCTCTCTCCCCTTCTCTACCTATCTTGGTTGTTTCACCTCAGATACACAGACACAGACCTCTCCCATTTCTTTACTCTCCCTCTTTCCCCCCTTCTCTCTCTCTCTCTCTCTCTCTCTGCACCACACCACACCATGCCACCCCGGCCTCGCAAGCCCCGAGCCCAGTCAGTCAGAGCGGGTCGTCTTCGGGATTCTGTTCTTATGATTTGGTTCCATCGGGGCTTTTCGTCGTCATTCAATCTTCGACCAGACAGCAAATGAGAACCCGCGCTGCACACAGCAACGGGGCCATTTGTCGTCCTACGGCTCAGAGTCTCAGACAAATTCTCGACCGGCATGGACAGGAGCAGTCTGCGGACTCAGCTCCCCTTCCCCACGAGCATGGGACGATCGTTGCGTTGGGAAACTTTCGCCATGACGTTCCTGGGACTTCGCTGCAAGGATCGCAAGGGTAGGACCGGTGCTGCTGGCAGACAATCCGGAGCCGGATGGGCCCGCAAGGTGGGAGCGCGTGCGGTGAGACGATAAATTGCGGATGTTCCTCGCACGGGCGCGACCGGTCCCTGCCTGTAACTCTGGACTGGAGCTTGTCCGAAGATTCAGACCGGTCGGTCCAGTAATACATGCGCGCGGGAGGGAGGCAGGTCTCAAAACTATTGGCAGATGGGTTTGGAGCTATTGGAAACTGACACGTGGTTCTAGCAGTGGTCGAACTTTCTTCTTATATCGCATGGTAGCTGGGAGTTGCCCTTCCTTCATCCTAGCTGCTCGGTGCCGAACCACCGAGCACCGCGGTCTTTGTTGGACCTTTCCGTTTCTAAAAGTGCAGAACGGGCAGATCCGAAAGCCTCAACTGCGGTGGCCTTTCTGAGGCGCCGCCTGCACTTGCCTCCTCCTGGAGCTACGTCGGGCTGCCATGCGTTTGTCTCCTTGGGACTTGCTACTCCTGCGGCCCTACGCCTCAGGTTTGGTAATTTTGGGCTGTTCGGGCATCCTGTACAGGCCGCGTCAGATTTGCCATCTGTATATCACTCCTTTTATTATCGTGTGCTACTTCTCGCTGAATCCATAAATTCTTAAGCTTTTGAATCGTTCACTTCCACAACAGTGAACATTATTTGAGAGAGCCCTCGATTTGATGACCCTGCTTGAGGCTCGAATCGCTTGCGACACGTCCACATCCATCTTACAGCATGCCTAGCATCGGAATGTGTGTGAAGGTTCTGCGGGAGGAATGGAGCAATCTAGCTTATATGCGCTAAGTTACTGGGGCCTTTTCCTATATACATATTTAACCTCTTCGTAATGGATACTGCAATTGAGTGTTCGAAGAATGTGGCCGTCAGGATGATTTCATGTACATGCGACTTCGGTTCTTCCTTCCAGGGTATCTAATTAGTGTGAACCTAAGTTGTATTTGCACAGAATTTCAGAAGTAGTAAACTATGAGTCTATAAGCAGGACTTCTTCATTCATCGTGAGTTTAAACGCCCAAGTTACCGGCCCTCGATGGAAACCCGAATTCTTGTTCCTCGGATTCTGCTATTTTTTATTTAAAAAATAATAATTTCCTAAACAAGTGATATAGTTTTGAATGGGAGAGCTATTTTTTTATAGCCATTGGAAAGGAAAAAAACAAAATTGGATATGTATTGATTCTCATAAGATGTTAAATCACCAAGTGGCAATTGAAACATTGGTATTGAATAATTGTTAGTAAGCATCCGGGATAAGCAATCTTGTCATATAAAAATATAATTTTTTTTATGTTTCTAGAGTTCTTTTCTAATACTTTGATTTAATATTTTGATATTTGGAATCATTATATATTTCATAGCGGTATAAGCATAACTACTATGATTATATAAATACTGATGTAATTATAATCAAAACCACTTAGCTATCTTATTACCGCGTAGATATAGAAAAGAATAAAAAATTAGGAGTAATTTAATTTTCATTTAATTTCTCAAATAAAATCCTTGTTTTTTTCTAAATTCTAATTTTTGGGTCTTATTTCTCTAATGTTCATTCCCTTCCATTATATATTAATTAATAATTTACATTATTGAACTAATTGAATTTACATATCTATAGATTTAATCGTTTGTATTGTAAATTGTTTTTTTTTAATGATATACCAGATTCTTCCATAAACTGACTGTATGTATAAAATAGTATATCAATTCTAGAATAAAATCAGATTGTTCAGCTTGAATTGCAAATTGAAATTCTCTGTGTACTCAAAAGTTTCTATCGTTGTCCAAATACTACATTGGTTAAATAGATCTACAAAGCTTAGCATAATTGGTGTATATGTAAATAGTTCTTGATAAAAAAAAATCTAGTTGCTATTACACAACTCAGTTGCTAATTGCTCATATTCAATACGACATTATTCACTTTCAAAATGCTTTTTTAAATTATGTAATGTCAATTAGTCAGTTTCTGATCCTATGTTAAGGAGAAGATCGCAATATATAGTGTGATTTGCAGTAGATAATATTCGGCCATAATCAACCTTGAAGTGGTTATTGTTTTCAACCATGGGATGTAACACCAACGTTGTAGTCAAACAGCAAATTCGAATATGTCCTCATGTACCCTCTTGACACATGCAGATGAATATAGGTGAGACAACTTATGGTAATGCAATGATGGCCCTGTTTGACATTTATCGTATCAACTCATGAAAATATATCTTCATGAGTTGATGTTTTTAAGTGTGAAGATGAACAAATCAACTTCAAACGTTTTTTATTCAATCTTCTGTTATAAGATTTTCTTGAAAATTCTCAACTCAAACATTAAATAGCAAGAACATACAAAAATTGCAAGCAAATGAAAGCAATTATGGAATGAAAATTTGCCTATACTATAAAAATAGGAGGAAGATCAAAAAACCACATTCGGATTACAAAAGATTAAATTTTCACATTGTCATTCCATAAGTATTTTAATTGCATGACTTGTACCCAATATTTTTTTCAGTGTCAACCATGATGATGAATACATCACAAGATATGGAGTTTACTAATTATGGAAATTAAAAACTTTACATGTGATCGATAATTAAATCCTGTAGTTCGAAAGATTACTCGGAACTTTCCACTTGTCAGTGGTATTGAGAGTCAAGGCGTGTTTTCTTCACATGTAAATCTTCAAGTAGTCTTGTAACTTTTGAAATTTACATCTCACCTGGCTGTGCAAATAATATACATATAATATCAGATTAATACTTTTTTGCCAATATTCGAAGGAGGACCAAACCCAATATCAATCGCCCTACCGATGTTCATTGTACATGAATTCACGCATTGTTGCTTTCCCTCTCAATCAAAGGATATTTGATTAGGCCCCAACAAAATGGACAATATTATACGAAGATAGTTAAATGGCTGAAATATTGACATATCGTGCATCTTTACAAATGTTTTGCTGAAATTTGCGATAAGTCACCTTACTTGTCCAAGGTACACATCTGACACCGAACAAATACTGACGAGTTGTATCGATGTCGGTCACAACATTGTTCCAAACATCTAACACTCATGCTACGAAAGTAGGAGAAAAGGTGTAATTGCAAGCATCTGACATAGTGTCATCAATACTATAATTGGACAAGAACATATATTACTAGATAATATAAAACAAGAAAATATACAGAGATGTTCCATGTAAGCCTTTATTTAGTTTGACGATCCTTCTAACCACATGTATTCTTCATTCAATTTCCCTGATTCAAACCGGGAACCAAGACAACCACAAAAACGGCGTCAAGTTAAATTAACTCCTACTTGACGAACAAAACAAAGACTTTAGTAGTACGTTCTTTATTTAATAGTGACAAATTCTAATCCCATGCAGGTCAGTTCACAGCAACAGACACAGAAGTGTTACATTTCTCGTCACATCCCTCAAGTCATATTTGAAGAAGCTTTTGCTTGCAAATTGGATTCAGCCACCTTTAACAGAATAGCGGGAGAAATTTTGACACCACGCGCCTTGAAGCCTTGGATCTTGTCAACATACCACCTACTCCATTTACATTTCCTCTCACATTTCAAAGATTTGAACCCAAGTTGATATACCTTCTTTTTTTCTAATCCCTAACTCCATAATTCAGAGAGCTATATAGAAATCCTTCTTCCCATATGGCTTCCAATGCTAATTGGCGATCATCAACTGCATCAACACAAATTCCATCATCATATTTCACACAAGCATTTCATGATATCATTTTTGAACGCTAGGCTTGAGTTTATATGCAATTTGTTAGTCGTCATACTATTGATATAGCAATAATCTTAGGCTTAGTAGGAAGTTTCATGCACCATCATTTGTATAATACACCATAAGGTACACGCAGAAGTTTACATTTACGTCAGTAAATACAAGAATTTGGTCAGATCTGAGTCCGATGTTTCTGGACTGCACGAGCATCTCACCAGAGATTCTCATCTTTGTGAAGGAAATAATCATCCACATTAGGCTGCCGCACTTTGGACTAGGCTTGAAAAGATTAAAAATCTTCGAAGGTCATGTATTCTATCTGTCAAAAGGTGCTCGAATTCAGAAATTCTTTTTGCGAGGAACTCGTCGACGCACTCGATGAAGAAGAGCACAAACCTGTCACCATACGTTCAGATAGAGAAAGGTCTCGCGAAGCCGGGAAAGATTAGAAAACCTGCGACATCGGATGTATTCACGCCGGGCGACGCTTGCCCGGAGAAGAGAACACGCGAAGAATAATTGGAACTCTCAGGCATTCCCCGCAATTTAACTCGGAGAAATATAGTCCATTAGAATACTCATCTTTGCTGAGCTTGCCCTCCAAGCTCCGTCATGCAGCTACGGTAAGACATGTCAACCGAATTGAATAGATGCAGACGTATGGTATTGTGCTACGTAATTTTTGTTCAGGTCGCAGGAACGAACGTCGTCGCGCGACTTGCCAGAGTCTTCCAACGTTGGAAATGCTATCGGCGCCATCCGCCAGGCTGCGACGGTCGACTTCGTCGTGTCTTCTGGCGACTGCTGCCGCAGAAATGCAAGCACACGCCAGCAGCCTGGAGCTGCTTGACGTGGCGAAGGGAGGCGCTCGGCCAAGTTCACTGAGGGGAGGAAAGTCACGATGGACGCTGAGATGGCGCTAGGGCTAAACTAGCTGGCGCGCCCGCCGATCCGACTGGGCTCGGTGTCGTCGGCGTCGTCGTCCGGTCTGGGCTGGAGCCCCGAGACTGCGGGCACTGCGCCGCGACCGCAGCTCTTCTCGACGGAAGCGATCGATGCGCGGGCGGGACTGGTTGCGTCCGCTCTCGTCGTGTTCGTGTCTGTCCGTCTGGCTTGTGACAGTGGTGACAGATTTGCCTCGCTATTGGAGCGCGACCGCCTCCGGTCGTACGAATTATATTGATTATTAGGGCAGATTCGCGGCCTCTGGCCGCTTCGAGCAGAGCACAGAAGCACTCTGCTGGCAAGCGAGCACGATTACGGGCAGGTCCATGATTGAATAAGCGGCAGTCCTCTGCTCGATCTCAAGGCCAAGATCAAGGCCTCGCTCGCGCTCAATCTTGACTGCCGAGGATAGATGGAGCAGCCGAAACAGCAAGAAGGCAGTGCGGTGGTCCGCGCTACTAAGAATTCCGAGGATGTGAGAGGGTACATTCACATTTTTCAATCCTACGGATAATGGACGGACGAATGAGGTTCTGCGAGTTTAGGCTGCAGCTTTAAGTGTTTCAGACCTTCAATCTGTTACTGTGTCTGAGGTTGTTTTTGGTGAATTTGATGAACTCATAATTTTCTTGTGTGCCAGAACAGTAGCGTCGACAACACCTTCAGGCGAAAGTGGAATAGAGAGGAGTACCTCGAGCGCGTGCGTGAGGCGGAACAGCGGGTATGTATATTGGATTTGTTCAAGACTCTCCTCGTAATCTGAATAACATTGGTTCTGAAAAAATGGACAATCACGAGGTGCTTATCCGCAGTTACGATTAAATTATGACAAAAGCTGGTATCTGTTTGTTTTCTCCACAGGAGTTGGATGAAGAGAGATATGGACCAAAAGGTGCGAAACAGTTTGTGTCTCTTATCGTATTACATCTCAACATTTGCGTGATCTCTTAGTCTACGCTTGCAACTAGCTTGGGAAGGCTGAGGCAAATTTTGTGAATCTGGGTTAAATGTGTGTATCACTCTCCTCTGCGTGCTAACAAGTTTCTTGGATGTCATCTTTGCAGCAAGAGGTCCTCCTGTACAAAGAAAACCTCTCAAGCATCGAGATTATGAGGTCGATCTTACTTCCCGTTTGGGAAAGACTCAGGTTCGTCCTTTTGACGCCAAGTTACTTGCTTTGTGATATGACTGTTATATTGAATAATTTATATTGTGGTAAATTGTATGCATTTTTGCGGGAATTTTGCAGGCATGTGTCTTACGAGTTATTGCATATGTTGACGGTAATAATGAAGACAACTTCTGTGTTTTGTGTACTTCTCTACAGGTGGTCACTCAGGTTGCCCCTTTAAGCCAACAGGTAAATTCCATTAAACTTTTTCTGCGGCGATGATATTTTCGGATTTGATGATATATTCTTAGGCATTGGCGTGTGCATGGGCCTCTTACATTGAACGCGTGTCTATTTTGTCAGGCAGGTTACTTTTGCAGCGTTTGTGAATGTGTGGTTAAGGATTCTGCGAACTACTTGGATCATATCAATGGCAAAAAACGTGAGTAGCTCTTGAACTTCCGAGGGGAAACTCAGGTTGAGAGGATGCACCACCAACCATCGAGATAGTTTTACAGATTTTTTAGGGTCGTCTACTGCACACCTTCTTACGAGGGTTGTGAAGCTTGTTTCGCACATGTTTTGGGTCATTTCCGGATTCTTTTTTCAGAGAACCCTGATGTTGAAGTACATATTGTCATCCAATTTTTTCACGACGCAGAAAGTATGATCATTAACGGCTTCTGAGTTTTGTACGGAACAGATCAAAGGGCTCTGGGTATGTCCATGCGAGTGGAGAGGGCCACTTTGCAGCAGGTGGGTTATCAATAAAGATGTGATTTCGTGGAAAATTATGGTTCCTGAGTTCCTTCTTTCTGGATGAAATGGGTTGTGTTCTTTACTTTGTGTAATACTTCTAAATGTTTTCCTACGTGAAAATCCTACAAAGTATGGAATTTATCTTCGCCAAAAATCGTCATTTTAGTACGCATCAACAGGCATCGTGCAATGGGACTGTTCTCATGTTTTAGTTTTTCACTTGCGTGTACGGTTCGCAGGTTCAAGACCGTTTTGACGTTCTGAAAAGGAAGAAAGATACCACAGGGTTCACTGAACAAGGTGGGAGTACCTTCGGTGATATTTGTTCTTTTGTGTTATCGTTTTCATGTCCTCTTCCATGGCATAGGCATAACTGGCGAGTGTATGTTTGGTGTGAACTTCATAACTTGCTCGGTTGTACGCAACGCAAAACGCCATATATTGGGTCTGGTTAAGAAACCAACACATTTGTCGTGTTAGCAGATTTGGACATGAGGGTACTTAAGCAACAGCAAGAAGAAGAGGAAAGGAAGAAGCAACGCAGGGAAAAGAAAAAGGAGAAGAAGGTGAAATATTCTCCTCATTGCCTCAATTTATAGCACGTTCACATGCGCCTAGTATTCACATTTTGATGATCACTCATCTTCGAGGTCTTGTACCAAGCTTTCACCCCAGGACCAGACCAGGACGTTTCATATTTTTTTTGAAACTCATACTGCTTTCTTTGTCGTATTTAGAGATGCATCTTGAGCACAATCAAGAAACAAACGTTGACTGGCAAAATCCAGATATATTGCCTTGTTGGTTGTTGGCTTCGTATGCTGAAGTCTAGCGCAGCGCACACAGAGATTAAGTCCCGAGTGATTACTTTCTGAGTCTAGCAGGCCAGTGATTTGGAATAGGTTTTGTCATTCTTATGAAGCTCTTTTACTGGGTGCAGAAAGAGAAACCATCTGGAGATGATGGCACTGAAGACTTTGATGCCGAAATGGCTGCGACCATGGGTTTTGGTGGTTTCGGCTCGTCTAAGAAATGAATCGGGTTTTCACAAATTTTGTAAATATGCCAAATTGGTATTTTGGTCTGATTATTGAGCGCCACGATAGGTCTTTTTAGTGGCAGGGGTGCTCGAGTAGTTATTTGAATTAGTATCTTCTGCATCCCGTAGCCATCACTGTAAATTTAGGCAGCGATCGGTCTCAACCAGGTCAGCTGGGAGGATTCAGAAGAATGTCAGTTGTACTTTAAATTTAGTTGGCCACGCAATTATGATGCCGATCCACCTTGTCCACCTGTAGTTGGAAACCATTAAATATTTGTAATGTTCCTGAGGCTCATGGTCCTGATGATTCCTGTGAACCATTTTGGTTACTCTCTCTCAGTGAGGTAAGAATCGTATGACTTCTTTTGTGTGCTGAACCAAGTCATCTTTCTCGGACGTCTTTTGTAATTTATTTCCGTGAAGAGATACGTTTTGACAGATCTAACTTTGGTATATTCAGAAGTTGAGCTGAAGCTGCGTAATGCACGAAAAGAGAAAGATGAATTTGTGTGTTCCAATTTCATAGATCTTTTGGAGATATTTTGTTTTGCTATGAACGTCGAAACCGAAAGTGAATTCTTTAACTTTGACTAAAACATCTCAAAAGCCCGTTCATACAGGAGTCTGGAGACTTGGTGTAACAAGCTTGACTCTGAACTTAGGCTCTCTCCTAAGAGTTGGTAAAGATTGAATCGTGACTGTAGTAGAAACTTCATGTCTTGATTCTTTATGTAAGTAATAGAAACAAGCGCTTTGGTTCGGTAACTCGATGAGCAGGGTACCGCTTCATCGCCGAAGTAAATTTGGGTCTACCGATATCGATCAATGCAATTCGATTTGACGCTGTCCGATCACATATCGATACTTACAAGAAGAATCGGAGCAAGGTTCTGTGTGGGTACAGAGTGAAATCTCCCAACTGGGAGATTTATTCTCCCAATATTGACAAACAGTAGCGCAGAGTTTTAAGTCACTATTGGGAGTTGTAATTCAAACATTTAGGAGATCATCTCGAAGCATTCTTATTGCAAGTTTAGGGAACCATTTGGTTGATAGTATATATGAATATTTGAATTCTATATTTGGATTCAAAGATAAAATTATCTTTATTAGGTGGAAATTTATGTTGTCAAGATAAAATAGAATTATAATTTACAAAAAATATAGATTTTGAGATTTTATATTTGAATTCCAATATCGGATTGTCTTTATTGAATGCAAATTCAATTAGTCAAAGTAAAACAAAATTGTAAATTGTGGAAAGTGAACAAGGAGATTTGAAATATCCAAGGTCAAATAAAATTATAAATTGTGAAAAGTGACCAAATAGAATTGAGATCTCTAAGATCTATCATGATAAATTGTGGGCAAGTAGAATCAAAAGAAATCAATAAAATGATTTGTGTAAAATGTTTGAAACAACAAAATAAAAATACCATAAGAGGAAATAGAGTGCACTAGTTGTATGATTGAATTATGTGAACACATACATATTAATGAATCGAGATTAAAGATTTACAATTTTTGATTTTTGTCACGTTTCTTCAAGAGCAGGTGTGGAAGAAGAAAGAAAGAGCGAGTGCAAGGAAGGGGGAGTCAAAGCTAGGTATGTGGTGTGATTCCACACCATGTTAGAGGTGAAATTAAAGATTAAGAATTCGGTTGGAGTAAAAACGGTAAAGAATCAAATTTGATTTTTTTAAAAAAAATTACAATAAAAACTCTCAGTATTGGTTAATATCATGTCATTTTACCAATAGTGGCGATACTATTTTTATTGGATAGATTTACAAATCAAAATCAAATGGTTATTGAATTCTATATCATTAATAAGATACGATTTTTATTAGATAGATTTACAATAGTGACGACACTATTTTTATTGGATAGATTTACAAATCAAAATCTAATGGTTATTGAATTCTATGTCATTAATAAGATACGATTTTTATTGGATAGATTTACACGTTAAATTCTAATGGTTATTAATTTTATATCATTAATAAGAGTTGACACTATTCGGATAGTTTCATGTGTGTTCAATGTGCTAACGTAGAAACACTTCGCTGTTTGCGGTGTGGACAACAAGCTAAATCGGGATAACATTATCTTATAAGCTCGTAGTATTCATCACAAATGACGGCTGGAAATTAAACGGTTCAAATTAAAGATGTCATGTTAGAGTAGAGCAAATAAGTATTAGCAATTTACAACGTTATATTCATTTCAAGTAATTTTTTGGTAGATATTCTACTTCATATGTAACTAGTTTAAGTTTATTACTTGGATAATTTAACTTGAAATCTTTGGAAATATTGACCTTTTAATAACTATGGAACACTAATAATTACTTTAGACAATTCTAATGTTTAATATTCCAAATTCATCTTAACCGTAATATAGTTCCTTAGGCATAGATAGTACTCTCTATGTAGGGCGGATTCCGTATGTTTTGTATCTCAACAAAATAAGGATAATTCTCAAATCAAAATACAGAATATACGGAACTTGACAGAAATCTCTCATGTTTTCGGCCAGATTTGACGGCAGTGTATTACATTGTTGTCAAATTCGAAGGTGTATTGCAATGTAATATACCTTCTATAGATTGATGGGTGTTATTCTTGATGTGTAAATATACTTTTGCCATTTCAACACTGAAAAATCACTTTCCACAACGTTGAAATGTTCAAAAATGATCAAACTAATCCTAAAAAAACTCCATGAGTTGAAGAAATCTATTCTCAATACTTGGAATCAGACTATTTAGTCAACAGATTTGACTTCGTAATGTTCTCGATTAAAAAAATAGAAGCTATTTGTGTTCTTTCACTATCTCATATATGTACTTTTGTTCTCAAGAAAGTTTGAGACGATCTTGATATTTTAAAACTAGTTGAATAATTTTTGGTGTTTTCAAATCTACAAATTATCGAAGTAAACAAAGAGACAAAATACTAGAACTTGCCTGGTTGAACTCATCAAGTGTTACCTCAAAGTTTTAGCTGAAAAACTTCACTAGTTTCTCTAGTAAAGCCACTGAGATCAACTAAAAAATTGTCACAAAAGGTCACCACAAAGCTTTAGCTGAGTATTTTCTTTAGTTTCTCTAGTAAAGTAATCTAGATCAACAAAAATATTGTCACAAACGGCCACCGCGCAGTTTTAGTTTGTGAGCCGAACCTTCCCACCCTTCAGCGTTTGTAGTCCAGGTGGGGGTTCGAGCTCCCATAATCTAACTTCTCTGATCTCAACCATGTGGTCAAAGTGTATTCAAGACAATGAGATCATAAACACTTGCTCTTTCACAGACAAATTATCCAGAACTGAAAATAATAACTTGCTGTCTGCTATTTCCACAAGAGCAGCAGACAAGCTCTTTGTTACATAAAGATCTAACCCAACTCTGGGTGACTTCCTCAATACCACAGCCGCTGTGGTCTATCATAGCTCCGAGTCCCACTCCCAATTCCTACTCAGATTTCAGTGTCAATTTCTCAGCTTCCACCTTCATACCCCAACAGATTCCTCTCTCCGATTCAACTCTCCCTTTTCAGTTTCAAATTCGGATCCCGACTGTCAGATTTCAGTCTTAGATTTCACTTCACTCTCAGCTCCCACTCACAGATTTTACACTTCGATCTCAGCTCCAACTCACAGATTTTTACACTTAGATCTCAGATCCCACTCACAGATTTTACACTTCCATCTCAGATCCCACTCACAAATTTTACACTTCAATCTCAGATCCCACTCACAGATTTGACACTTCAATCTCAGATCCCACTCACAGATTTGACACTTCAATCTCAGATCCCAATTTAATTTCACTCTCAGATACGACTCTCCACCCACAAGAGTTTGCTTCCTCCTACTTCGAACTCTCCACACTCCCCTCATAATTCTCACCACTTCCCTGCGAAAATCACTCACATCCACACTCTATTCCCCCTACCAATCCCACCAGCGTCTCCACACAATGGCACACCACACGATCCCAGCTCGCAGGCCGAATAATCCTCTCCAACGTCCAAGGGCCGAGTTGCCCGCAGGCCGCTTGAATGCCGTTCCCGCGATGATGGGCAACGGCCTGGTTCCCATGTGCGACTTTATGCCCCGCCGTCCTATTTCCCACGCTTGACTTCACGCCGCAGCCACTGCCACACCTGTACAGTCTTTATTCATGACCACGTCAACATCCGCCGTCCGAAATCTTCTTCCGCGCACCGCCGAAGGCATCCCCCCGCCGAAGACACTCTTCCTCACCTTTGCATGTCTATAACAATCACCTCCGACGCTCATAACTCACAGATCCCTGCTTCGTTTGAAACGTTCTTGGGCTCGTTGAAACGAGCGTGTTAAGCTCTTTCCAACGAGCTCCTAACTAAGTCAAACCGTTAAGAATTGAAAAAGTTATCACTGTTTTACTCTTCCGCCGAAGGTGTTTGCCTATGCACAGGCTTCCTACTCGCAACTCGCCTACTCGCAACCCGCCTACGCGCAGCTCCCCTATGCGCAGGCCGCCTATGCGCAGGCTTCCTACTCGCAACTCCTTGGGCCGAAGGAACTTCAATCTGTTATCGCCGAAGGCCTTTCGCCTAACCATGTCAGCCGCTTTCGACGCTCATAACTCAGTGAGGCCTTATTCGTTTCAAAAGTTATTGGTCTCGTTGAAACGAGCGTTGCGAGATCTTTCCAACAAGACACTAACTGAGTCAAGGCGTCACATATTGAAAACGTTATAAGGGTTTCACTGTTTCGCCGAAGGCCTTTCCCCGAAGGGACTTCACCGAAGTCACTTCGCCGAAGACCTTGCCCCGAAGGCCCCCTTCCGCACCTTTTGCCCCCTAAACATCACACCAACTCCTAATCTTGCCAAAAATTTCAGAAAAACCCCAAGCATAATTTTGCAAGAGCTTAAATCCAAAATTTTAACTCTCATAAGGGTAAAAAGACATGTGAGCACAGTTTTGTGCTCACATATTTAATAACTCTGTTAGTTCCTCTAGTATTGTCTCTGAGATGAATAAAGACATTTTTGTGTGTGGACGAATAAATTTTAATACATGGCTGTTGGACTTCATCAAGGGTCAAGCTAGTTACGGATTGAAGTGAAGAGTCAGGTCGCCATTGCAAGTGCATTGGAAACTTGGGGAGATCAAATAACTATTTTAGGTGAAATTAGATAGTTTGTCAATGGTAAAAATTCTCTTCGACCCTTGGAGAGAGGGGCCAGTAGCGCTTTTGCCTTGGCTTTTTGAAGGGCCTTTTAATATGCTATATAGATTAATGTTTCAGAGTTTAAAAGAGAAGTAACCTCAAGGTATTGTGTGCTTAGAGCCGAGAGGTAGTGCGCCATTATTTTACTCATTGTAGATGAGAAATAAGTTTGTGGTTTTTTACTCGTGTGCTGGGATATAGTATTCTGGGGACCAGCTTCC